TACACGTGGAACAGAGGACCGGTATTGTCTGCGTGTGCTGTGCTGAACAGTTATAAGGAAAACAACTGGGGCAACCAAGTGAGTTCTGTACTAGGGTCTTTGAGAAAAAGAGTCAGTTGGAAGAGAATCGCCATTCAGAGAGGGCTTGAGTGCAGAAGGTGAAGAATCTTGTCTCTTAGTACCCGTTAACAAGGGAACGACTGGTGAAGACATAGCAGGGTGGAAAAGACTTAGCGTGTGATGTGGTGATTTGTAAAGTGTGGAGATAGTGATGTGCTGTAATTACTTATAATTCTGAGTTGTGCCAGTAGGCAGTAATCCAATTTCCAATCCAAATCCACATTCAGGGTCATGCATACATGTGTCAGTATCTTCATGACATAAGAATCTAGTAGAGTTCCTGGAGCACTCTTACTATATCAAATGCTGGCTTCAGATCACCCTTGCATCCCTAATTGGATTGTGTAGACCAGCTTTTCTTTCCCTGCTGCAGACAGCCAGGGCATACACCACACACAATTCCACGGTGTACATCCTCCCTAAGACTGTACTTGACTTGCAGAGCTCAACTGCTTGCTTTCCTGACATGTGAACATTCTGCCAAGGTTGAATGTGAATGGAAGACGTGTCATGCTGTAAAGAAATTTTACGAGCAAAAATGCTAGCTGAATCCAGACATGTTTGCACAATGCAGACTGTTGAGGGAGGAATCAGAACTTCAGGCAGGATCTTTCAGTTTTCAGTGTGTGTGCACAATGTAAAGTTATGGTTTACTTTGGAAAGGAAATAAAATTGAGAACTTAAGGTTATTAAAGTACATTAAAGTTATTTGTGGAAGAATTATTATTTTAATACAGTATGATCATTAGTTAAGAATGAGTGCAACAGACGTTTTTTGGTTTATTGCATAATGATTCCTTTCAGAAAATGTCATGGATGGCATGCTACCTTCTCAGGTTATGGACACCTGTGGTAACCTTGAATGTAGCAGTCCTTATTAACTCTTGTTTGCATTGCGTGTTATGGTTGGAAATCTGCCGTTCAAGTGATTGCTTCAAGTGGCACAATTCCAGTAACAATTAACCACAGATAACCAGGACCCCTCTACATGTCTGTTTGAGTTGTTCTGCCTTTCTGTGTGGAGACTGGGTTTCTTTTTCTCACCACTTGCTTATTTTTAACAGCATTTGCCCTGCTGAACCCTATGACAAGAGGCATGCAGCTTTGCTATTACCTCCTTCACTCATAGTACTCTCAGCTGTTGTGTATTCCTCTGCTTTGTGGTGTACTGTGATGCCATGCTTCCTTTCCCCAAAACCACAATACTTCGTGGACTGGTGATTTAAATATTTAAATCACCCTGGGGACCGGCATTTTTAAACATACTACCCTAACTTGTGCGCTGTTCACTTTAAAAATTAATATAAAATCTCCTAATTAATTTTTTGACCTAATATTTTTGGAGAACACTTACCAATGCTCCTAGAAGTGCTTGAGGGTGTGATATTTCTGGAAACTTTCCCCTTTGTGAAGTGGCATTACACAGAACTTGCATATGTAGACATACTCCTTTTTTTGTGAACTGTGCGAACACAGCATTGCCTAGAAGTATTCTTCCCCTTGGAATGTTCACTCTTCACAATTTTCACGAGGGTATTTTTCCACATATCACTAAAGAGTCGCCCTGGGGGGTCCACATGAGGCCTTCGTGGGGTGGGAGTTGATGGGCCCGGTTGTACTAAGTCTTTGTGTGACCCTGGTTCTGCCGCCACCATCTGGACTGTAACCCAGGCCTTTGCCACATTCATCAGAAATGCTTTGTATTTCAATTTTGGATCAGGGTTTAGATTTTTTTAGATTTTTTGCTGTCCACGCAATGTTACTACGCACAATGTTATTACCAGCATTATCGTCAGAGCTACTGTCACTTACTGTCTGTGGCCACATTTCTTTGTTGTCCCCCATCACTGTCGCTGTCTGAATGACAATCCATTACTACGCGTCTTGCAAGGCAGGTCAGCTAGGTCATCGGAGGAGAATTTGTCCTTGATTCATTCTCCCCACTAGCTACTGGCTGATACACACAGCTTGAAGAAGGCAAAGCATTTTCCTTTGTAGTCAGCTAAGTAAACAGCAAGGTCAAGTTACTGACTGCTAACTAAACATTCCAGAGTTTTATCACGCATCAGCAGCCGGTTGTGTGCAATGTAGGTGGCACCAGAGCGATGTATAGTGTGTTGCAACTTATCGTGTTCTAAAAGCCTGTTTATACGCTAACGGTCTGCCATGTTTAAAAGCAAAAAACCTTTTAAAGTGTGCGCGGTCCGTAAAGTGTTAAGACATCACTTTCACATGCTACCTCTCCACCGAGTCTGTCTCACCTGTCTACTATGAAGTGCTGGGTCATGTGGGGTACTGTACTGCAGCACACTGTCTGCCTGATTCCTATAGTTAATGTGTTCAGAATTCCTTCGTGGCCTTGCTGTGTGATTGCTGTACCATGCAATATAGAATTTGGAATTTAAATTGAGATTTATTGGCAGGTGCAGTGGCAGAGATAAGGGTGACCATGTTGTAAGCTGTTACATGGTACGAGTAAGATAATATACTGCGACCATATGGGACAAGGTTTTTGAGCTGTTTTGACAGGCTTGTATTGTATGCCATGTTGGATATTCCCACAGGTGGTTAAAGTTGTTGATTATGGTAATTTGCTTGGTAATGTAATCTTGCTAACTGTATCCATGAGTATGGTATTTTTTAAGGCTGCACCATAGCTCAAGCGGTTAGTCGCTGGCTTCCCACCGCAGTGGCCTGGGTTCAAACCCGGTTCTGGTCAAATGGGATTTGTGGTGGACAAAGTGGCGCTGGGGTAGGTTTTCTCCAAGTACTTCGGGTTCCACTGCCAATCTTCATTGCACCAAATTCTCCATCATCATAATCACCCGGGGCAGGTACAGTAGATCAATCAGTGGCTGCCATGCCGAGTGGACCCAACTGGACTCCACCCACCACTGTGCGAATTAAATGGTATTTTATATCTATTCGTATTCTGAAGTTGAGCAAGCAGAACTATAGATTGCTTGCTGGGCATGATATTGTCACGTGTTGGGTGTATATCACGTGACAAATAAATTCACGCCTTATTTGATATAGCGAATTTATTCCACTTGCTCTTACAATCACACAATTTACAATCTCAACATTACTGCCATTGGCAGTATCACAAATACTCTGGGGAAAGATGGACATCAATTGACTGGTTACTCTCTCTCTAGTAACTCACTCACTAGTAACTGGCTCAATACTCAATAATCACTGAACTCGGCGATCGCTACATTGAAACTCAACTCAACTTCTGAATAGTGTTCGCTGCTACTTATTTCGCCTCGGTACGGACAACACAGAAAACAGTTACGTAATAGGTACCACTGTTAATACCATCGTCTTTACAGGTTGCCTAGCAACACTGTTGAGAGTTGTTTACTGCTCAATAGCAACTGTGGCATCCCTTGGTAACGTCACTGCGGGAGGGGGAGGGGTGTTGACTAGCCTATTACCATAGCAGCGGCAACACTCCGAAAGTGTTACATCACCACTGGTGGGGGAAGGGGTGTCCTGCATAGTGCAAATACGTCACAATATTGTGTGTGTATTGGTCATCAGTTCTGATAAGGGCCTGATGAATGTAGCTGCATTGCTACCCCTAGCAGAACCTCAGTCCTACATTATTTTTGCCCACTGATTTGATCAGGGTGTATTTCTGTGTTAATGACCTATCACTGCATGTCTGTTGTCCTATTCTGAATTTATTGCTTGTCATACTTTTCAGATTTGTCTGCTATTTGTTAAATTACTTGCTCATTGAAGTAGTCCTGTTATTCTGCATTATCTGTCTTGTGGTCAAGATGTTTTGGAGGAAGGTAATTCAGCTGTATGATAAGATAGTGTATATGGCCATTGAAACAAACATCTGAATCAGGGTGATGAAGTGGGTCCTTGTTATCTTGTTTTTGAGCAAAGGATGCTCACGTTGAGATATTGAGGGCATTTTTTATGTGACATTATGCTTTGCATTGAGATCCTTCTTGCTCACTTTTGCTTTGCAGAGTCTCAATGGACACACACACAAGGCTATCTGGTTTAACATCTCCAAAAAAAGGTGACTCTTTTTGAATGCCTGTTGCAGTGGTTCTGCTTGGCATTGAGATTGCCAATACAGCAGCCAGGAGAGCTGTCTTCCTCTGTGAAGTAATGTTTGTGCCATCTTTACTGTCTAATCTCATCATGGCAAGATGTGTGGACCAGTACCCAGAATAACACATTGTAGTCAGGGAGCCATGTGTTTCTGGGTGGCAGTCCTTCAGCTCCATCAGGAAGGAAGGAGTCATATTGACATTCCTTTGAATAGGCACACTGCCTAACACATATGATGCATATATGTGCAAGGTGCCCCCACACTTGCTTGTACACAGTGCTGTGTCCCCATTACCATTTATGCTGCAAGTCACACTTGCATGGCATCCTAGGAGCTAACTCACATGGATTTGTTTATGGTGTCAGAGTGGCCATATCTGTGGAACTAACTTGGTACTATTCTTCCTGTTTAGTCATTTTGTATGTATTGTGTCATGGATTTCACTAGGCTTTATGCACCATGTCTTACTGTGATTTCTTAACTGAGCATTATTATGGTTTCATTTTAGGATCCTCTCCACCATTATTAGTCAGATACTTATACAGCCATACGAATGCATAGTTTTATTTAACTTTGTAATTTGTTAAATAATAGCAGTGCACCTTAACTTTTCACTCACAAAGAGCCATACATGCTGATGGAACCACAGGTGCCCACCCACACGAAGTGGTGAGGGTTTGCTCTCTCTTTCTCTCATGCATGCATACACACACACCTCCATTTATAATCTCATCGCACTGAGGTTTCAAAATCATTTCTCTTCCTGCTAGGATTTCTCATATTATTTTCTCTTATTTCCCAGAGTACATTCACAGAACTTCAAGAGGAGCAGTTTGATCTGAGAGCACATCAAGCCATACATAGTGGACAGCAGCCGTTTTGCTGTGATACATGTGATAAGTCATTCAGTCGGGAGCATGAACTGAAGACACATCAACACATACATAGTATCGAGCGGCCATTTTGCTGCGACATTTGTAGTAAGTCGTTCTGTCGTCCACATCATCTGAAGAGACATCAGCGCATACATAGTGGGGAGAGGCCATTTTGCTGCAATGTGTGTAGTAAGTCATTCAGTCGGCACCATCATCTGAAGACACACCAACGCATACATAGTGGGGAGCGCCCATTTTGCTGCAGCGTGTGCAATAAATCATTCAATCAGCAGCAGCATCTGAAGACACATCAACGTGTACATAGTGGGGAGCGGCCATTTACCTGCAACATTTGTAATAAGTCATTCACTCAGAAGCATGAACTGAAGACACATGAACACATACATAGTGGAGAGCAACTATTTTGCTGTGATGTATGTAAAAAGTTATTCAGTTTGAAGAGTGACCTGGAGAGACATCAACGCATACATAGTGGGGAGCGGCCGTTTTGCTGCGACATATGTAAGAAATCATTCAGTTTGAAGAGTGCTGTGAAGAGACATCAACGCATACATAGTGGGGAGCGGCCATATTGCTGCAACATATGTAATAGGGCATTCAGTTGGCACCATCATCTGAAGGCACATCAACGCATTCATAGTGGGGAGCGGCCATTTTGCTGCGATGTATGTAATAAGTCATTCAGTCGACAGAATATTCTGAAGAAACATCAGCTCATACATAGTGGGGAGCGGCCATTTTGCTGCGATGTGTGTAATATGTCATTCAGTTTGCAACATCATCTGAAGAGACATGAACGCATACATAGTGATGTATGTAGTAAATCATAGAGTAGTCTGGATGGTTTCCTGTATCATGCCACAATGTTGCTTCCTCTAAGTCAAACAGTTTTGCTCTGTGCTGCATGCTGATTGTTTTCAGAATGCTGCAAAATCCTTGATGTGCTTGCAGTTTGTAACATTTTAGACTGATGTGGGAAATGAATTCATTCCCATAGTACAAATGGTCACTGAATCTGTTTGAGAGTAAACAGACTTGATGTGCTCTGTAGGTTACAGTGTTTGCTTCAACTGTGGAAACTAGTGATTAATACATCATAGTTATTGCTATGCTCTTCCCTTATTTACTATTAGTAAATTCATTGATCAGTTACAAATTGATACATCCTTTTATTGAGTTTATTCAAGTATCTTATTACAGTTTGGTCAAATGAACAAAAATTATGCTTTATTGATCATTACAGACAAAATATAATTCTATGGGATACTTTGTATATTAATTACAGGAAGACATTAAAATTTAAGTGTGATGATTCTGCTTGTTGAGAACAGTAATAGTTCACTGGATTTAGTTGAAAGTATCATGAACAAATTGCATGCCTCTTTTAACTGTAAACATCAGAGAGCAAAGAAACTGGTGTGTCACGAGATGAAAGAAAGTGAATTCGGTATGAAGCACTTCATTCTTTAGATCTTGATTACGTTATAGAGGAACAGGCAACTGAAAATTGTGATGTAAGTTTAAATTTTAAGTATGGTTTTTAATAAAATTATGTGATATCATTATTAATTTGCATTAACAAGTTTAATCATATAATAATTTTTAATATGTGCATTTAAATTCAGTGCAGTTAGATCCCCCCCTGCTTGAATGAGATGCGCCCTAAATGTTGTTGATACTTGGTCTCTCTGACCAAGTGATCTCTGTTTATTGGTAGTTTTCTTACCGATGCTTTCTTCACTTTACATAAAATGTGCCATGCATTCTTCCCCCCACTAACTTTGCATCAGTAGCGCTGTTCTTGGTGTTTCAGAACGTAATCACTACAACTGTACCACAAGAAGTGATTCACCTGCGTGGTTCCAGAATATGTGTTCATTTTGTCTCTTCAGCATTTAAAGTACCGGGCATTGCATAAATGGATTGACAAGTTGCATTAATTATTAGAAAGTTGTGAAGGTAGATTGATTCTGGGACTACTGATTCATTATTTTGTATTCTTAATGAAGAGAATGTGTACTAAACTGATCTGGCTCATGGTAGGGCCATGTGGCTGGCCGTGGACATGGTAATAAATGGTAATTAACCCTTGCATTTCACAATATGGAAATTTATTGAGTAGCTGAGGAACCAGTAAGTTCTCCAGATAGGCTCATATGTATGGTGTTCATTAATATTTGGCATTACAGTGTGATTGGCTGCAAGTGATGCTCATTACTGTGTCATCCTTAAGCAACCCAGCCAGTTCACTTTGGTTTAATCAGCCTTGACTCTGCAATGCTAAGAAAATACTCGTCTTGTGGAATGTCTGCATATCTAGAGAGCAGTGCTTGAAATTGTAGGATGATTAGTAAATTGTGAGTTTGAAATACACAGTTTGGAAGTTAGCTGTGACTTAATTTAAGGTAGTTTTCTGGCATTATTGTGGAAGGACTTAGGAAAACTGTGATGGCCAGTATACAGTAATTTTACATTTAATCCATTCTTCAAATAGGGATTACTTTTTTCCAGATGGATTAAATATGAAAAAGATATCTGCTGCAAGGAAACCATGTAACTAAACATCTTTTCAATGTAGTGCACGTGTATTCCTGATTCTATTACCAAAACCATCTCTAGAGCTCAGCAAGTCTGGCTTCTCCTGTTAGATACATTGAGGTAATACACTGTATGAGGAGCGTTCCGTATATAATGCCTCCTATTTTTTTAATGAAAACTACACCAGATACAGAAAGCATAATAATGCAGTTAAATAGAGCAAGATTTCAGCTACTTAGTTATTTTTCCACATAATCACCACCATTCATTATGCCAGCAATGAACAAGAGCCTGTATGTCGTGTCTGTAAAAGTCTGCGCTAGCAGAGGTTAGCCACTTTCTTACAGCTGCAATGACAGCATCGTTATCTGGAAAATGTTGCACACGTAGTCCGTCTTTCATAGGTCCAAAGAGATGGAAGCCTGAAGGTGCTAAATCAGGGCTAATAAGGTGGATGTGGTGGGACAGCCCAGCCAAGCTTTGCAATGTGTGCGGTGGTCACCAAATTGGTATGGGGTCTAGCGTTGTGTTGCAAGTGAAAGGTTGTCTGCTTCTCTGGCCTGACTCGGGAAATTCGGGCTTTCAGCTTAGCGTCATCTTGTAGCGTTCGGAACTCACAGTCTCACCAGGCTCCAGGAAATCCAACAAAATCACACCCCGCCTATCTCAAAAGACGGTGCAAATCACTTTCCCTGCCGATGGCTGTCTTGAACTTTTTTTTGGGGGGGGGGGAATCCGGATGTTGGCACTCCATGGACTGTCTTTTGGATTCCGGCTCGTAGTGGTGACACCACGTCTCATCTCCGGTGATGATGCTGTCCATAAACTTGTCACCTTCAGCCTCAAACTGGTGCAACAGGTCCTGACAGACTTCAATTCGATGAGTTTTGTGGTCCTGTGTAGGCACCTGCGGGACCCATCAGCAACAAACTTTGCGATAATCCAGCTTCCCCAACATCGTTTCCAATGCATTCGTACAGTTCCCTGATCGTTATCTGCCGATCTGTACGGATAAACTGATCGAGGCGCTGTTCATTGTGAGGGGTGGCAGCTGAGCAGGGACGCCCGGTGCACTTCACTTTCGCCACTGTTGAAATGCACTACCCACCGCCTCACTGTGCTGACATCCACTGTATCGTCTCCGTACACCTTTAGCAAGTGTCGCTGGATGTGAATGGGTACAATTTGTTCGGCAGTGAGAAATTCAATAACACATCTCAGTTTCATACACACTTCTATGTCAGACGCCATTTTGGTAGACTGCTCTGCTATCGCTATCTTTCGCACGACAACCAAACTAACAGTACATTGGCGGGAAGGTTCAACCTTTACTACAACACAACCAACATCCAGCTCAGACGTTACATATTAACACAAAAAAATAGAAGGCATTATAATCGGAACGCCCTTCGTATATAAATGCCAAGGCAGACTCGCATTTTGTGTCCGGCCAATCAACGAGTCTAAACCCTGCAATCCCACGAGACTGGATGAAAATCTTGTCTTCTTCCAAGAAATGTATTGTGACGTGAACGGCGCAACGCTCAGTAACCTCCCCCCCCCCTTTCCGCGGTGACATAACAGCATAGGAGCCGCTGCCGCTGCTACGGTAACAGGCCAGTAAACACCCCCTCCACGCGGTGACGTAACAGCACTTCCCACAGTAACGTAACAGGGGACACCGCTGTTAACACGGGGCAACATGGAACGGTATAAATGGCCGGTTGACGAGTGTGTGATTAGGAGTGACACAGTGTGGACCGTGAAGTCGCCGAGAGCAGGAGATGTAATTGTGAAACTGTGAATTTTGTAAATGTAAGAGCGAATGTGGAATAAATTCGCTAGATCCAAGATGGCGTGAAGTTATTTGTCGCGTGACACACGCCCAACACGTGACAGTATTAACGTTGAAAACGTTAATTTGCGAGGGTACAAATGGAATGAAACCTAACAGAATTTGTAACGTAAGTAACGAAATCTCTAACAATTTAAAATTATTAGTACATTTCTAGACAACGGCAATTTAACACGTTACTACGTCAATGAATCAACACAGAATAAAGGAGACAGGAAAAACATGGAAACGGTATTTTCTACGCGGTTAGTACTGGAGCCTTATGAATACGAGTGACCCTGCGAGTCGTAGGCGACAGATGACAGAGACAGAGGTTTCGACAGTGACACAGGTCGTTGATTCATTAGTTCAAGTGTTTGTCCACCGCTTGTGTGTGTGAGACTGCGGGTCGAGATTATTGGCAGTTAGGTGTATGTTCGCATCGATTGTAGCTGAACAGTGAAGAGTGGAGTCTGCGACATTGGATTACTATTTATATTCATTGTTGATAGTGGTTCTTCAAAGACTGAAGTGAGTGAACACGAGACAAGAACAGTGGTGCCAAATATGACTGACATCCCAATGCCGGGATACCGGGCACATGGGACCACGAAGCATCATATGCTAAAATCACAGTGCCAGCGGCTGGTAGGCTAGTTTCTCGACGCAGGCGCACAGCTGAAACAGTTCCTTCAAGTACTACGCGGCATCGAGGTCGTGGCAGGGTGCACTCCAGCTTCGGTGGGTGACAGTGAAAAGTGGTCATCCATCGTCAGTGAGGCGGACGAAAACGGCCAGGTCCTAACAGGGAAGACCCTGTTTAGTGCCCTATATGGCACATACACAGTCGCCTTACTGAAGTTAAAGGCCGTGCTGAAGGCGAGCAGTAAAACTGCTCAGTCTGAGGAAACTAAGTCCTCTTCAACCTTTTTGATGCCGCGGACCCCCTGTACCGAATGTTAATTCACCGCGGCCCCCATAAAACCCAAAATGGAATTTTTTTAATTTTACGAGTACATATCATAAAAATGAAGCAGTAACTTAAAATTTTACAACACTAAATGTGTCATTTATGACAATAAAATACTGTTATAAATGGAGATATTCGGAAGATTACGAGCATATCAATTAGGCGTAATATTATGAATTTAACACTCACCTAATGTGATGGCTGGTGCTGTTTTTCAGACGTAAACTTTCGAATGTCAGGATCAAACTGGATAATTTCAGACGTAGATCAGTCTCCACGTTAAGTCTGTTCCTATATCTGTTTTTCATGTGTACAAGATGAGAAAATGTTGTCTCGCACAGATATGTAGTGGGAAATGGCAACAGATGTCTTACAGCCCTTTTGGAAATGTCAGGGTAAACAGACCTAGCTTGGAACCAAAACGCCAGTAACGGTAACGAAGGAAACAGCAATTTGAACGTCGAATCACAGGACAGCTCGATAAGTTGCTCTTCCTCGGCAGAAGGAAGTTCAAATTCATAGTCTACAAAGGGATTTTTCATCCAGTCGTTATTTTCAAGACCAAACGGAAAATACAGACGTAGTTGAGACGCCAATGACCTCATATGTTCAATCATACTTTCAGCAACATCACTAGAAAGGGGTTGTTCACTGGAATCAATGAAATCACTCAGCATGTGCAAGGAATCTTATTTTCGTTTCTCGATACGGCTGCACCACAAATTTAACTTCTTGATTGTTGCCTCTATCTTGTCTTGCACAGAAAACACGGTGACAGCTGTACCTAGAAGGCTCGAGTTAAGAGTATTCACTATGTTAAAAATGTCCGCCAAGTAAGCAAGAGAGGAGAGCCATGCGAAATCATTTAAATAGTGTGTTAACTGAAATTTAGAGTTTATGAGGAACAACCTTACTTCGTCTCGAAGCTCAAGCAACCGCGTCAAAACCTTACCCCGGGACAGCCATCGGATTTCTGAGTGCAATAATAAGTGTTCGTGATCACTTCCCATTTCATTACAAAGCGCAGAAAATAATCGGCTGTTAAGAGGACGGGCTTTAATAAAATTGACAATTTTTACTGCCTCGTCTAGAACGATTTTCATTTTGGAGGGCATACGGCGTGCAGCTAATACTTCGCGGTGTATGCAACAATGTGTCCATTTAACAAGAGGTGCGACTTTCTGGATACGTGCGACCAAACCATTATGTATTCCCGACATTGCCTGAGCACCATCTGTGCTGATACCTACACATTTTTCCCATTGAAGTGTATTTGTAGTTATGAAGTCATTGACAACTTTGAAAAGGGATTCAGCAGTTGTATTAAGAGGTAACGATTCACAGAGCAAAAAATCTTCACAAACTTTATTTTCGTGTTCATATCGCACCAAAGCTACCAAATTAGCATTATTTGAAATATCGTGGCTTTCATCCAACTGCAACGCAAAATATTCACTATGACGTAACCGTTCTAGCAAAATATCTTTCACATTTTGAGCCATCTCGTCGATTCTTCTTTTCACAGTATTGTCAGATAACGATATTAGAGACACCTCGTTGGCATGTTTTTCACTAAACAAGTTCTTTGTTATCGTTTTTGTAGCAGGCAAAATTAAATCTTCCCCGATTGTATGGCGTTGTCCATTTCTAGCGATCAGAAGGGCGACTTCGTAAGAGGCAAGAACAGCCTTTTCATTTTTCGTTCCACATACAATGTCCTTAACTAAATTCTGTGAACCACAAAGTTGCAGTTTCTTATTTTGAAAATATTCTATTGGCTTATTAACTGATTCGCCATGTTTCGTTTCAAGGTGGCGTCTCAACTTCGACGGCTTCATAGATTCATTCGATAACACTTCGCAACAAAGAACACACTGTGGTCTGTCTTCGCCGTCTTTATTCAGAACGGAAAATCCCATTTGCAAATAAGATGGACAATATTTGCGTGATTTTTTGAGGGAAGGAACTTTATCTGCCCTGGTACTATTTTCGACAACACTAGATCCACTCGGATTATCGTCTGTCTTACGTTTCAATGATCCACACTTTAACCACCGATCCATATCTAAATAAGATCGTGAACAAACTGAAAATCAGAAGTTTCGTTGTGAACTCAATTATTTGAACAAAAGCAGAAAAACTGAATATTACACCGAGAAAAACACACTTGTATAATATTATAAAAATTCACTGCACAAAAACTAAAGAAACACGGGTTGTTCGCTCTGCCACTGAAATGAATAAGAAACGTGGTCAATGGTCCCAGGTTTATTCCCAACCAAAGAGGGATGGATTTGGTGGGGGAGGAGGGGAGAATGGTCGGACAGCAGGTACTAGGACAGCAGTCCACCCTGAAACACGGGTCTGAGATGCAATGGGCCGACCAAAAGAAAATGTCCTTGGAAAAAGCTACACAAATCGTTGGTTATTCACCTCTGCTTTACAAAGGGAAGAAGTAACGGTACCAACAGTCCCGTTAAATTTTACTTCAACCATGGGCCTCAAGAGCCAGAGATATACATTGCAAATATCCCAGGTGTGAGGAACATGATAAGATAAAGTTTAATGAAAATAAACTATCCCGCGGACCCGCGGACCACAGGTTGGTAAACACTGATGTATACGATTATATAACAAAACTGTGTAGGCTACAAGGTGAAGCCAGACACAAAAAATATAAGAGGCTTAAACCTGGCAGTGGCCAAGCTTACGACCGTTCAAGTGACTAAATTGTCCTTGTAGCATAAGACATGTAAGTTAGGCATGATCTGCTCTGTAAAGGCTGTACTGGCAGAGGACTTGTGTGTAGTGCAAAAGGAAGAATTTTCAATAACATGTTATATGTGCGAAATATACATTTGACGAAAGCAATTCTGACCAATAAATCACGCAAACCTAGCGATGACAAACCACACTTCCAAGATCTCCAAGATCCAAGATAGTTTGATGGCCTTCGTCTGTAATGGTTACATCGCGTGCGTTTTACAGGCTCCGTTGCTCCGTTGGTTCTGTGAAAGATATCTATCCATACCTCATTATGAAACGCCGCTTGCCATTATTCGTTGAACTTTTAATGAAAAGGTTTGCAGCATTTATACGTGATCGTACGTGATACAATTTATTTTAAGTAATGCGGTCGTAACTTCGAAGCGTTTTAATTTACCATTTGGTTAATAGCTTTTTTGTTAGCATTTGATATTATTTAGAGAAACTCTTCTGTTGGCCTGTTCAAATAGCGAATGAAATGTAACTTTCTACTTTGAAAAAGATATTATCAAGCGGAAGTACTGAAGAGAAACCACACGTGCAATTAAGGAAGTTAATGCAGTTTGTCAGTGGCTGTTAGCTTGTGTTCGTTCTGCTGGCTCCTTTGAATGTGAGAAGAAATCGACAACATAAGGATAACAAACAGGGATAATTGGACGAAGACCATGTGTTTATTCAGTGCTGTTGTTAAAGGTGAAGTGTAATTCATTTTTTTTGGGAAACCATGAAAATACGCAATACGAATCGTCATTGTCATGAAAACCATCAATCGTAATAAGGGAGTAGGGACGTTAGTGATTCACATTTGTGATGTATTGGAGTTGAGGTGACTCGGTTAATGCTGTTTCCAATTGGTTTTTATTTGGCTCGGTTTCATTTGGTTTGGGTTGATTGCTGAGTTAGTGGTGTATGTTAGGTTAGGATCTTCGCTGCGCGTTAACCATTTTTCCTTCCCTTGGCACTACAGCTCCAGTGGGCCTAGGCCTACCTCCATGAACTTCTCCGTTCACTTCGGTTTTTCGAAATCTTACACATTCGGTAGGACATCTTGGGCGGGTGATCAGCTCATTGCAAGGCCTCTACCTGTACACAAACACAGAAAAACGAGCACACACAAACTAAACATCCATGCCCTGAGTGGGATTCGAACCCACGATCCCGGTTTCCAAGCGAGCGAAGACAGTACATGCCTTAGACCGCTCGGATACCGTGACTGGCGCGTTAACCATTATCCGGGGTAGAAATTATGTCTACAGCTTTGTGGAGGTTGTATATCGGCTCTGGACCATGATAATTGTGCACGGTCTGTGGACTTTGCTGTCAATACGTATGTCTAATGTAGGGCAGGAATAACTGCAGGTTATAGGTCTTAAATAAAAATTGTTGGTACTCATGTTCATGTAACATTGTTCTAACTTTCTTCACCTACGGTTTATTAATTGGAATATTATTTTGTATATTGAAAAACTTGAGTCAATTAGAGGTACTCACTTTCCAAGTACGTTGTTAAATAGTGAGAGAGTTCGTACATATTTGGAATTGAAACATAATTGCCCCATATGCCTGAGCCTGTTGATGCAATCAGTTACATTTACTTTTTGGTTATACAGTTTTGTTCAGAGTTGCACTTGTATGTTAAGAATAATGGACCAGTGTTTTTGGAATTAGGTGTAATAAATTCAGAACCTGTATTAATATTAAGTTATCTAATTTCCCATTGATTTGAACAACTTTTCAGCATCTGTGTCTATGAAGAACTCAAGAAGGAGACAGTCTACTAAAGTAAATATAACCCCATGCATGTGCTCTGACTCTTCGTTGCAGATCCAGTATCACATTGCTATGAATCCAGATGAGATGGCAGTTCACAATTAAGGGTAGCACCATAGTTTCTCTAGTCATCCCTTCTGCAATGTAAGTAAAATAGTAATAGTAGGTTGTAAGCAACCTTGCAAAGTTGTCCTGTATGCATTATGTGTCCAGTTTGGCTTACTTAATATATTCATTAGGAATGTTTGGTTACAAAACTGTCAGTGTGAGGTGGAAGGTTCTCAGGTGCCTACTTAATTAGAAAAGTGAAAGTTTCAGTCACCAGAAATCTTCCCACACATTATAGAATTCAACAATACAAGTTTTGTCCAGAGTTTTTTTGATTTGCTTTAGGCACAACATTAAAGATATGTTTAGAAATTATGCATATAATTTGGTGTCATTGGTGGGTGTATTTGTAGCAAAATTAACTTTAACACATTGTTTTAGAACTTGTTTACTGAGGTAGTGTGGTCACAAGTAACAAGAATCTACTAGTATTTTGATATTGCAGACCACATTCTTAGTTTGATCTCAGTATATGCCGTATTACTTTGAATCTAAGACACCCGCAAATTTAAGACACATCCAGTTTTTGAATTTGGGTTTTAGGGAAGAAAAATTAGAAAGGTGCACATTCCTTAAATTTAAGATGCACCTCAATTTTTCAACGGGGAAAATATATGTAAAATGTGTGTCATGTTTGAAGTAATCCAGTATTGTGCACTTGATATGCATTGGATAACCCTTGACTGCAAGATAGGAGTAGAGGTTAATATGTTTTCAGTGTTAACATAGTCCATGAATAGCCAGAATCTGTGAACATGTTCATGTATTTTGCTGGCTTTTCTGCATGTAATATGCATGGTCTGAAAGTGTATAGTGATTGTAGAAGTATCCCTATTTTGCAGCTCATCTTAGATATGATTAAATCAGAAATTAGTCAAACAGTGAGCTGTATCTTACATCTTCTGACAGTGGAAATCAGCTGGTTGGTGTGAAAAATGAGGAAGCCCCACCATGTATGCCATTGCAAGTTAAGAATGAAAATGAGGTGAGATCTGCATTTTGATGTCTTTATTTAAGCTTTTCATATGTTTGTAGATTGTATCCTGTAGATAGTCCATGTTGGGACTCAGATTTTATAATAATCCGTATCTGTATTGAATACCCTCATGTTGATACTGAATCATATTTCTGTTGCTTAACATTTAAGCAGCATAAAGGTGACATCAGTAGAACTGACTGGTGCTGAAATTGCCAAGAAAAGGAGCTTGTATCTCTTAAGATTCTTGAGGTCCAAAGGAAATATCAGGAGAGTTCTGAGCTAGGCATAATCTAATAAATGAATCAGTAGTAGTCAATAATGAAATTAGGAAAGTAAATGACATAAATGTTGTCATGTGTTGGGTGTATAACGCGACAAATAACTTCACGCCGTATTTGGTATAGCGAATTTTATTTCACATTCGCACTTACAGTCACCCAAATTACAGATTCACAATTACTGCTATCTGCAGTATCACAAATACTACACTGCAAATTCCAGAATACAACTTACCAGTTGCCAGCTAACTTGGAACTAACTCGGAGGTAGCTCGAGGACTGACTGTGAATAGCCTTCGCTGCTCCTTATGTAGCCTCATTCGGACAATACAGAAAACGGCCACATAATAGACACCACTGTAGTCTGGTGCCGTTGTGCTAGCAACACTGTACCGCTGTTACTACCGTCGTCTCTCGCAACCACAGTTTACCCGCGCTGCCTAGCAACCGCGGTACCCCTTGGTGACGTCACCGCTGTTGACTCGCGTTGCATAGCTACCAGGATGCTGGGACTCGGCTAACTTCGGCTCCGCTCAGCGCGTCAGCTCCGGGGCAGGGGTCCAGCTAGCGCGACACGTCACACTGCTCCCTCCTTAAGGCTGTTCGTCCTGAATAGCCTAACGGTGCATCCCCGTTCCTTTGCTTCGGAGGCTGTTCTTGCAGCATCTGTTGTCCGGCCGTTACAGTGGCTCCCTTCTTAAGATCAACTCGTCTCGAGCGGTTTCCTATCAGCTCGCCAGAAGATCCAGTTGTGTCCCATTCATCCATCACTTTCATTCTATGGCACATTCACTCTCTCTGGGGAGGCCGGTTCTTCTACATTACCAGTTCCTCCTCTGCACGAAGTCTCTTTTTCTGTTTTGGAGGGGGTCGTCCCCTCCACAAGGTCCATTCCTTGTTTTGTCATAATCCGGCAGAATATCCGGCTATTTTCTTGGTGATCTGCAGTCTTGCAGTTTTCCTCAGGTCTGGTTTCTTCACATCATTTCTGCGTTGTAGTTGCTGTCTCAGGCCTTGGTTCCTGATGCCAGTGTTGCGTTCCGGCCCTTTCCACAGTCTCTTCCTGAACGTCCATTTCTTGGTGATTTTCAGTGGGACCTTATTCTTGTTTTGTCCCATACGCTTCTGTCTTACACAGCGTGTAATCTTTATTCCGGTGGCGGTCACTTCTTTCAGCTGGCATCCAAAGGTTCCCAGGGGAATTTCCCTCTTGAAGGCATTTCTGCAACGTCGTGCCACTGTCGCGCGACGGGATGTCTTCCTGCAGGGGGCAGCCAACTTCATCCGGGGTCCACAGCTTTCCCATGTCGAACTCTTCATATTTCGTCGCTTGTTTCGGTCCCTGCGCCTTTTCTTCTTCGGTTCTCCGACCGGCATTACTTCGGCGTCTTTTACCGGTACCTCTTGTTGTTTTGCCGCTTCAGGTGTCATGTCCACTGAGGCTGGCTCTTCTTCTTCTAGACGTGCCTCCATCTCTTGGCAGGCGATCTCCTCTTCGACCGGTATTTTTTCGGGGACCTCTTCTTGTTGTGCCGCCGCAGGTTTCATGTCCACTGTGGCCGGCTTTTCCACTTCTAGCCGTGCCTCCATCCTCTGCATGGCCAGCAAAACGGCATCTGTTTTAGCCTCGTAGGCATCCATCTCCTTCAGTAGGAGTTCCAGCATTACTTCAATTTTCATCATGTGATAGTGTAACACTCGTTGTAACTTGTGGCGTGTTCAAGTTCGTAACTAATTCTTACACCAAATTGTCACGTGTCTTTAGTTCGAATCTCGTTGGTCACGTGTGTAAGTCCAAATCCCACTTCTGACACCAGTTGTCACATGTTGGATGTATAATGCGACAAATAACTTCACACCGTATTTGGTATAACGAATTTTATTTCACATTCGCACTTACAATCACCCAAATTACAGATTCACAATTACTGCTATCTGCAGTATCGCAAATACTACACTGCAAATGCCAGAATACAACTGACTGGTTGCTGGCTAACTCGGAACTAACTTGGAACTAACTCGGAGGTAGCTCGAGGACTGACTGTGAATAGCCTTCGCTGCTCCTTATGTAGCCTCGTTCGGACAATACAGAAAACGGCCACGTAATAGGCACCACTGTAGTCTGTGCTAGCAACGCTGTGTACCGCTGTTACTATCGTCGTCTCTCGCAACCACTGTTTACCCGCGGTGCCTAGCAACCGCGGTACCCCTTGGTGACGTCACCGCTGTTGACTCGCATTGCATAGCTACCAGGATGCTGGGACTCAGCTAACTTCAGCTCCGCTCGGCGTGTCAGCTCCGGGGCAGGGGTCCAGCTAGCGCGACACGTCACACTATGATATGTAAAAGATTCAGGTATGTAAAAGTGCTTCTCTTAAGCATCATAAGTAGAGCTCATCATACAACCCACCTAAACGGAATAGGTAAAGTGTATATTATTCAAGAAGTAAGTAAAGTAATAGACAATAAAACTCTCAATTCAGGTGTAATAGTTTTAGGGTTTTCAAGTTAGAGAAACTAGTAAAAAAGGCTTGTTCCCAAGGGCTACAGTCATTACAGAATAAAAAAATGATTGGTGAACCTTGGTTACCAGGATTAACATTGAAAACTCGGTGGCAGGCAGTTGAAAGTCCATAAAATTAGGAAAATTATTACATGTGTAACATGTATAGCTAAGCAACAGCTCGGTAAACACATTTCATGTGTAACGGTCAGCTGTAGAGCAGAGGTTACTAGAATTCTGATACGCACAATGTAACTTTCTGTGTTAGGTGGGTCCCTTGTCACCATGACATGGCATGTCCTTATGCTGCAGATGCAGGAGACACCCTCCAGGTAAGGAGGGAAGCTGCTAACATATTGAATAAGCAGTTGTGGACAGCTGACAAGGGGTGTTCCTCCGGCTTGGGGGTTGGGCGTGGGGCTAACAACTCACCATAAAGAATAAGTTTGTTAAGAAAATGTTCAAGAAGCCTCAGACTTGGACAGATTCTGTGGATAAACTTCCTAGGTGAAAGAAAATGGGTATGAGATTTGGTACTTGGAATGTTAGAAGTATAGGGCTGGTTCACTCAGGGCAGTGGCTGAAGAAATCTCAAAATATAGATTAGATTTAGTGACATTACAGAAGGTCAGATGGGATGGAGGTGGCACCAAGCCAGCAGGCGAATATTCATTTTTCAATGGAAAGGGGAATGAAAGTCATGAATTGAGTGCGGGTTTTATTGTACATAGAAAATCATATAAGCAGTTAGGAAGGTAGAGTTTGTTAGTGATAGGATGTCATACATAGTACTAAGAGGTCGATGTGATATCATCGTTCTGAATGTCCACACCCCAACTGAAGATAAAATTGATGATATAAAGAACAGGTTCTGTGAAGAACTAGAACATGTATTTGATAAATTCCCAAAGTACCATATGAAAATTTTTTCATGAGATTTCAATGCCAAGTAGGCAGGGAAGAGATTTTACAACCAACGGTTGGGAATGAGAGTTTGCACGAAATTAGTAATGATAATGGAGTTAGAGTAGTAAACTGTGCCACACCGTAAAATCTTACTGTCAAAAGTACAATGTTCCCACATCGTAACATCTATAAATTTACTTGGACATCTCCTGATGGGAAGAGACACAGCCAGATTGACTGTATTTTGATAGACAGGAGACGGCATTCAAGTATAATTGATGTCCGATCATTCAGGGCAGCAGATTGTGATACTGACCACTACCTGGTGGTGGCAAAGGTTAGGGAAAGACTGACAGTGAGCAAACAAACAATGCACAGAGTTCATATGGAGAGGCTCAGTCTCAAGAAATTAGATGAGGTAGAGGGTAAAGAACAGTATTGTGTTGAAATCTGAAATAGGTTTGCGGCTTTGGAAAACTTGGACATTGAGGTTGATGCTAATAAAGCTTGGGAAACTACATATTAGAGAGAATATCAAAAGTTCTGCCAAGGAGAGTCTAGGTTAATATGAACTGAAGAAGAATAAGCCGTGGTTCGATGAAGGATGCTCAGAATTATCAGAGCAGAGAAAACAAGCCAAATTCCAATAGAGTTTGTGGTACCCATGCAGCTAGTCATGCTGATTAAAATGTGTTTTGACGAAACATATGGTAAAGTCTGTATAGGTAAACATTTGTCCGATAGTTTCCTTATCCAGAATGGTCTAAAACAAGGATATGCCGTATCACCACTCCTTTTTAACATTACTTTAGAATAAGCCATTAGAAAGGTCCAGGAAAACCAGGTGAGACTGAAATGAAATGGGACACTTCAGCTATTTTGTGTGCTAATGATGTGAATCTACTGGGTGATGATATAGACACCATAAAGAAAAACACACACTTTAATTGAAACTAGTAAGGTCTAGAAGTAAACAGAGAAAACTAAGTATATTGTGATGTATTGCGCTATGGAGGACACCCCCCCCCTGGCCAACCGTGACGTGCCAAGCGGAGCCGAAGTGAGCAGAGTCCAAGCACGCTGGTCACTATACAAAGCGAGTAAACAGCGGTACCCATTACATAACACGGGACGTCGCAGTTGCTACATAACCGTAAACAACTCCCAACAACGTAGCTAGGCTATCGGCAAACACGGCGACTAGGCAACAAGGAAGCGAGGCATTTCCCATTGTCCGGTTGAGGGTTTATAAGAGAACTACACGGCCTACAAAGACAGTTACGAGGTAGCCAGCAGTTAGTCAGCAGTGAGCAGTTGGAGTATAGCAGCAGTCACGGAAAGAAGAACCGGCTGCACGTGTGATAATCAGTGATAATTTGTGATAACTGAGAAGTAATTGGGAGTGTGTAATGCAGTGACACTTATATAGCTCCTGTAGTGAATATGTGTAGACTACTGAGGACAGTGTGAAGAGAAGTTGTGTGTAGGGTTTGTAAAGTGTGGAAACCCGTAACATTGTTGTAATTAATTGTAGCTGAGACTTGTAGGTTGTTAAATAAACAAATTAACAATCCAAACGGCATCCTCAGTAACGAAACACGTTACAATGTGTTATTGTATCATCACCAAAATGCAGGCCAAAATTATGACATAAAGATAGGGAACCTGTTTTGAAATTGTGGCACAGTTCAGATATTTTGGAGTTAAAATGTCGCACACAAACAGAAATTAAATGCTTTGCACAGTTAACTTCAGTTTCCCTTCCTGTCTTTTATCTAAATATATTGTCACGTGTTTGGGTATGTCACGCGACAAATAACTTCACGTGGGCCTCGGAGTTAGCGAATCTTTATTGGACACTCAATCTTACACACCTTACAATTATTATTACTCCCGGTATCGCTTGACTTCTGTCTCTACTTCGATGCTTATACTGTCCTTGGCTGTGGCTGTATCTTAACTGACTTCGGCGACAGCTATCCCAATTCTAACTCGTCTTCAGTCCAAGTCCAAGTCACATTGTGACTGACGGTCAGTCAGTCAGTAAGTCTTGGTGTTGAGCCCTGTCTGGGGCTCATGATCAGATATTTATTACTGTTGAACGTTACGGTTTTGTTTTTTTGTGGGGCACCCTCTCTGACGAGAGGACGGGTCTGTCTTTTATACATGCTACTGGTCCTTGCCAGTGCAGTCTTTCTTATCTCAGAGTCAGAGTCAGAGTCAGAGTTACATTGCAACTGACGGTCAGTCAGTCAGTCAGTCAGTCAGTAAGTCTTGGTGTCGAGTCCCATTTGGGGCTCATGACCACATATTAATTATTATCGTTTGACAATTACGGTCTTGTTTCTGTGGGGCGCCTTCTCTGACGAGAGGACGGGTCTGTCTTTTGTATATGCTGCTGGCTCTTGCCAGCGCAGTCTTTCTCGGGTCCGAGTCCCTTGGGACTCGCGACCATATTTTACTGTCTCAGAATTGAGACTTGAGAGAGAGAGAGAGAGAGACACACACACACACACACACTTACAGATCATCTTCAGAGGGAACATCAATGCTTATTCGGAAACCACTATCACAATAGGTGTTCTGAGTGCTAAATTACATACACACATAATGCCTGGAATACACAGTGTACACAATATTCAACTTTTCACAATCACAGCAGCCTTCCTGGTATTAAAACTTTTAAAGTGTTTAAAAAATTTAGCTTACCTGGATTTAAATATATTTAATAGACACAGACAAATAGAAATGGAAATATACAGAAAACCCACAACGTGCTACCCTAAAGAACAAAAATTGCCAGCATATAAAAACTGGATACACAGACCTCTTACACTACCCCTTGAGGAAAATGCTAAAAACAAGAATTAAATACTATTATTAATATAACAGTAAATAATGGCCCCAGGCAACGGCCCACTGTTATTGCATTTTCGCTGTGGGAACTCTCCGTGTATTCGTCGTAACCATGGAGACTCATTGTAGGCTGTTAACTTCCTATGCAACAGTCTGTTTTAGCGTTTCCATGGAAGTAACTCTTCTGGATTCCAAACATGTGACAATATGAAGGTTGAATGTATAAACCATATAAAACTATAATTGTACCCATTATTTGGTGTGTGTGCACATGTGCAGTTCTGATATTAAGGAAGAATATGTTACTGAGTATGTTTGAGAACAGGGTGTTAGGAAATATTGGATGTAAGAAGCAGAAAGAGGTAGGAGGCTCATGGAAACTGTATAACAAGGAGATACATAATTTCAACCCATCTTCAAATACAAAGCCTGAAGTAACTGAGGATCAGATGATTTGGACATGCAGCATGCATGGGGGAGGTCAGAAATATATAAAACAAAAAACAAACTCCATGGTTTCAGTTCACAAGCGAACTATACTGACTGAGCAACCGCCACTTCGTCAGCAAAGTTAGTGCCAACTTTAGCAGTTAGAGGGTATCATGTGGTCAGCACAAGGAATCCCCACAGCCATTAATTTTGGTTTTCTAGATGAGAGCTGCTGTTTCTTTGAAATAGCTCCTCAATTATCCTCACGAAGCTGAGTGGACACCATTCCAGACCCACTACTTCTCAGAAAATCTGGTCGCGCCAGGAATCGAACCCAGACCTCTGGATTTGTAGCCAGGAACTCTGACCACTAGACCACAGAGGCAGTCAAACATCAGAAATACGAGTATATATGAAATTTAAAAAATTTTGAAGTATTATATATTTGCATACCTTCAGCATTATCTGACTACTGCTAACGCTTGAGCAAAACGCATTTACGATCAAATAATGCAAACTGTCAATAATGGGTTTGCAGAAATCTTATTCTTAGATGCGCCAGGATGAACTGGTAAAACGTTCCTAATTAGATTGATTCTGGCAGCAATTCGATCCCAAAATGACATAGCCTTAGCTCTTGCATCGTCCGGAATAGCTGCGACGTTGCTACCAGGTGGGAGAACTGCTCATTCTGGTTTGAAATTGAAACTCCCACGTGCAACATTTCCAAAGCATCAGGCATGGGAAAGGTATTGCAGAAATGCAAACTTATTGTTTGGGATGAATGCACAATGGCACACAAAAAATCGCTCGAGGCTCTTCATCGATCATTGCAAGATTTGCGTGGAAACATCAGACCATTTGGGAACGCATTAATATTGCTTGCAGGAGATTTCAGGCAAACATTACCTGTATTTCCTTGATCGACACCAGCAGATGAAATAAGTGCTTGCTGAAATACTCTACTTTGTGGCAACACGTAAAGACGTTAAAATTAACTACAAATATGCATGTCCAGCAGCAAAACGATCGATCAGCAGAGATATTCTCACATCAATTGCTGGAAATTGGGAATGGAAAGGTGCCGGTTGATCTGACCTCAGGACGAATTTCTTTGCCTCATAACTTCTGCAATTTAGTGACATCAAAAGAAGAATTGGTTGAAAAAGTATTTCCCAATATTCAAACCAATTATAAGAATCGCGATTGGCTGAGTGAATGAGCTATTCTTACGGCCAAGAACAAAGACGTCTGTGAACTTAACAGTATCATTCAGTCTAACATTCAACGCGAGGCAGTCACATACAAGTCCGTTGACACTGTTGTGGAAGCAGATGAAGCGGTTAATTATCCAACAGAATTTTTTAATTCACTCGATCAGCCAGGGATGCCACCGCACATACTGCAATTGAAAATAGGCGTGCCAATTATCATGTTGCGAAATATCAACCAGCCAAAGCTTTGCAACGGCACACAGCCTGCAGTAAAAAAATTATTGAGCAACGTCGTAGAAGCAACAATTTTGACAGGACCTTTCAAAGGTGAAGATGTCCTCATTCCTCGCATTCCTATGATTCCAACGGATGTGCCGTTTCAATTTAAGAGATTGCAATTCCCAATTCGATTGGCGTTTGCAATCACCATCAGGAAAGCTTAGGCCCAATCTTTAGAATTGGGCGGTTTAGATCTAGACATGGGTTGCTTCTCACATGGACAGTTATATGTTGCGTGTTCTAGAGTTAGCAAACCAGACAGTCTCTATATCTGCACAGACAATGGAACAACAAAAAATATTGTATACCCACAAGCATTGTGAAATTAAACATATTAGAAATGTGCGCTTTCTCTTTTCTTTCTTTTCCATTTAACAAGACTGAGCCACAGCAATGCGTGGCCGGGTACCGCTAGTATATTGTAACGTGTCTGGAATCCAGAAGAGTCACTTCTATGGAAACGCTAGAACAGACCGTTGCATAGGAAACAACAATCACTCTATTGTAGTTCTAACAGGAGTCTCCATGGTTAAACAAAGGGTTCGTTGCATAGCAGCGACCAAGGTTATATAGCGGGGTTCAGTGCATTCGCACAGTCAGTCTTCATCCAGCCTTCTTAGAAGAAAGTCGTCATCCAGCCTTCCTAGAAGAAAGTCTTGGGATAGCAGCCGTCTAAGAAGAGAGTCTTGGAACATCCGCCAGAGAAGACAGTCCAGTGTTGCCGAGTTATTGTAAGCAGTATTTGTAACACTGCAAGGGCAAATGTTTGTAAAGTGTGTGTAAGGCGAGCGAACGGAATAAACTCGCTATATCAGACAACGGCGTGAAGTTATTTGTCGCGTTATACACCCAATACGTCACAATATATATACACACACACACACTTGAGTGTGATTAAGAGAACTTGTAAGCAAAGGTGTTAATAAATCCAATCATCAAATCCAGAACCCACAATTATGTCACGCTAACCTCTCATATGTGACAGTATATGTTTTTTTTTACATGTTCGTGAATTTCATCAAACAAATGTAAGTTTCAAGCTGAGCCACCTGTTGTGATTGGTATGATCATTTTGTTTACAGCACAACATGGCTACTATCACAGAACTTCAGCCTGTTTCATGTGGTGAAACTTACCACACATTTTGTGACAGTCAGAGTCTACAGACAGACACAAAGGAGGACACAGATCCTTTGTCAGTAACATTCCCAGTAAACAAGGTAAAGAGTGAGATGAGTTCTTTATATGTGAGTCTGTACCTAAGCGTTTTTCAGTATAAAATGCATGAATATCTACCTTAGATTGAGTGTATTTGTTACCAGTTAACATGTATATTGTTAAAGGACTGGAGTTTTGATCTGCATACTCACCATGCCTTGTTAAAAAAAAGTGTACCTGAAATACATGATATCCAATATCCAATACTATCCGAGCTGCCAACTTCTGACACCAAATATGTCGTGTAAGGGGGTATGTGTGACAAAATGATGGGTTCTGGTTTGGATGATTGGATTTATTAACAGCTTGGTTACACACACTTTTTTGATTTCACTCAGATACAGTGCTATTGCTGAGTTACATGCACCTCATAATCCACTGTTGCACACACCATCACACATATCAAGTCTTCTAAATCACACTTGACATCCTCACAGGCAACCTTCTGTATTCCTGGTTCCACTTTGCTTGCTTCTGCCACTCTCAACTACTCTAACTGCCTCAACACTGACAGATACTCTCGTTACCTAGCTTCCGCACTGACCACACGAAAACCAGCCTGTACTGTTGGAATGTGTTTACTGAGCGATTGCCCAGCAACAGACTCCATAGAAACCAATTACATGATAGCTACCACTGTTGCATGACGTCAGCCTAGAATGGAGGGGTGTTTACCGACCGTCGCATAGTGATGAACTGGGTGGGGGTATGTGACTTCACAGAGTTGTTGCCTAGCAACTCGCCGATACAATCCACAACTCTCAAATTGCGCGCCTGCCCCGAGGCCTCTGTGGCTCAACAGAGAGCATACAGCAAATAGGTCACAATGTAATAACTAGGGCCCGGATTTTTTGAAAATGCATATGCACATATGCAAATGCATATTTTGAAGGTTTTTGGTCGTTACTGCATATTCTAAACGTAAGAGCATATTTCTGCATATATGTTTGAAATTAAGGATAATTAAGGATGAGACAACTGATTTATGTGGCCGATGCATAGCAGATTTCGTGGTTGTTAAGCTACATCCAGATGAACCCGGCAAACCTCGTCTTCTTGCTTTCAAAGTACTAGAGAAAACCAACCATAGGACAATAGCAAGATTTGTAAATGATTCTCTGTAACTACTATGGCCATCTGAAATTGAGAATAATTGTTGTAAGGTGCTTGTATTATTCACAGATGGAGCTTTCTATATGTTGAAAGCAGCATAGGCTTTACAAGTATTTTATTCAAATTTTATACGCTTTAGCTCACGGGTTACACCATATTGCAGAAAAATACGCACACAGTTTCCAGCTGTTAATGATTTAATTGCAAGTGGAAAAAAACTGTTTCTGAAAGCACCAGCTTGTGTCCAGTTCTACAAAGATTCCCTACCTCAGGTTCCTCTGCCACCTGAACCTATCCTATTTAGGTGGGGGACATGGTTATCTGCAGTTTCATTTTATCAGGAAAATTTCAATCAAGTAAAAGAAGTGGTTAGAAAACTTGAAGATGAGAATGCATGTGTCCATGAAGCAAAAGTGGTGTTCGGAAGTGATACTGTTTATCAACATGTGAATTTTATCCATGCACATTTTTCTACAGTTTCAAAAGCCATTGAGAGCTTAGAATCTTGTGATGCACTCCTTCACGACTCACTTGAACTCGTTCAGAAAGCAACTTGTTCACTGAATTTCACACTAGGCGAAATTGGAGAGAAGATTAAATGAAAGTTAGAAATGGTGTTGAATTCGAACCCAGGACTAAAATAGATTCAGTTAATTAGTCAGTACTTGAGTGTAATTAGGGTATCTTTTCCAGATGAATGTTCCGAACCTTCAGCACCAGTGTATAAATACTGTCCAATCATGTCAGTTGATGTAGAAAGATCATTTTCCGCCTATAAACTCATTTTGACAGACAATAGACGTAGTTTGTCTCCAACGTCTAGTTGCCTATTTTGATGCTACTTTCTGCAGTGAATGATACATGTAAATAGGCGAGTCTGAATAAAGTGACCTGCTTTTAAGTGCATATTGTTTTATTTTTGGTGCATATTTTAAGTGCTTTTAGCGCATAAAGTTCCGGGCCCTAGTAATAACTGAAGTACACCATCTCAGGCTGTGGCAGCACTACTTTCCTGTACTCACGCACCAACTTATGAAAGCAGCCCCCTCATCATGCGCTCACATGGTCCCAAACCAAATTTTGTTCTCAAATTATATGATTTTTTATTATTGCTAGTGGGGTGGGGCTAAGTCCGTTGTACTGCAGCCATTTCTGGCCTATTGTACCAGTCCCAGATGATAGGTGAGGGTGATTGTGGAGCAGTTGGTTGAATGAAGATTGGCAGGGGAAACCGAAGTACTTGGAGAAAACCTGCCCCATCGCCACTTTGTCCACCACAAATTCCACTTGACCAGACCCGGCATCGAACTCGGGCCACCACATTGGGAAGCCAGCGGATAACCGCTTGAGCTATGGCGCGGCCAAATTATATGATACTATATAGAAACCTCAGCAGTTCTGAAAAAGATGTTACATCTGCCTATGGTGGATTCTCAGTGTAATACAAGGGAAAGGGGAGAGTTAAGAATCTTTTGACAAAACAGTATTCCAACCCCAGCAGAAGGTAAAGGACAGGTTTGCTTGGAAGGGAAACATTTAGAACATGGTGTGTTAAGGGCAGGAGAAGGGGAAGTTGGCTTCATGAAGTTACAAACTTAGGATATGTGAGTAGTACCTTGTCAAGTGTGGGACCAAGTTCATGGAGCTTGCAGTGACACTACATGGCTCATGAGTACCAATGACATAAGTAGTAACACAAATATGGAAAAATAGTTGATTTGTAGAAATCCATTCTGTGATAGCAGATACAATAGTAGAAATTTGTAATCCATTAACTGAAATTTATCTTTCATTGCATTGTATTGTAGTGTTTTCATAGAGGTTAAAGAGCAGTATAATTTTGAAATCTCAAATAGGTTTGCAGCTTTGGAAATCTTAGATGCTGAGTTGGATATTAATACAGCTTATGACACTGTTAGAGAGAATATCAAAATTTCAGCCATAGAGAGACCAGGTTATAATGAACTGAAGAAGCATAAGCCATGATTTGACAAAGGATGCTCAGAATTATTAGATTGAAGGAAGCAAGCCAAATTGCATTGGTTACAGGATTCAAGGTAAATAAATGGGAATAATGTGAACAATAATATGAGATATGAAGGGAGCAGGCATTTTAGAAAAAAAAGAGGGAATGTCTGAGAGACAAACTTAATGAGCTTGCAACACACAGTAAGTACAAGGACATTAGTGACCTGTATAAGGGAAGAGATGAGTTAAGAAAGGTTACAGACCTAGAAATAACTTAGTAAAGGATCAGAATGATCAGAATGCAATCTGAAAGGCATTCATGAAAAGTAGACTGTTTACAGATGCCCAGCATGATGTACAGATGTAAACATCCCATGTGACTGTCGCAGATGTTACATCGGCAAAACAAGCAGACATTTAGAAGTACACATTAAGGAGCATAAATATAACCTGACACAGAGTCTGCCTGAAAAATCAGAATTTGCCCAACATGAATACAAAGAAGGCTACATAGTAAGTTTGAATGAAGTCTTGCAGATTGAACCATACACCACATACAGGAGATACAAGGAATCCACACACGTCTGTGATAGACCATCCATTCAGTCAGTCCAGCTTGGACATCTCTCCCTTCTGGACTCCTGTTATCACAGCAGAAGTAATAAACTGCAACTCTGTCCGGTGTAGATTGAGTGGGGAAATTTATGTTTTTGTGTTGGTAGGGCGGCTGGCGCGTAAGGCTGACAAACTAGAAAATGTGGGAACCTCAACATCTCACAACCCTATGGGCCTCCACAGCCTGTTACAGTGATACCTTTACTTTACTTACCATACAAAGAATTCCCCAGTGATGGCCTGTATTCTGAGTTCTCTGATGCAAGGCATCATATGTGTGGAGCTTTTCATATTTTAATGTTTTGTCTTAAATCTGGGAGGTGGTCTGCTCTATACTTTGCTTTAATACCCTGTCTGGTGTTAGTTCTGGTGTCTGAAGATAGGGCTACCTCTGTCGACTGGGTCCAACTGAGTAGATTTTACCGGAATACAGAGTCAGAATCCAACCTCCGAATTGTTGTATTTTTAAATAAAAGCAGGACAGCATTTTACATAAAAACAGGACAATGGATAATGTCCTGAAACATAATAAAGTAAGTAAGTAAAGGTATCCCTGTAATGGGCCATGGAGGCCATAGGGTTGTGAGATGTTGAGGTTCCCACCTTTTTCTAGTCGGCTTGTAGATGGTGGCAAGGTTGTCAGCCCTACGCGCCAGCAGCCCTTTACCCCCAAGAACATTCTAAGAATGTTCCTGATACTCATTTCTATTAGAGGCTCAGTCGACCCCAGGGCCATAATGCAGCTGGAAGGATTAGGTCAATTGAAAAAAATCCAATGACCTCATCAGGACTTGAACCTGTCACCTTCCGGCTTGTAGCATAGTGCCTCAATCAACTATGCTACCACATACCCCCCTGAAACATAATATTTGTATTAATGTACAATCATGACGAAGTCTTAGATCTTATTTGCTCTGTTGGTGTTTAGTATAAGATCTTTGCAAAAATGTTCAGTGTGGGTTTCACAGTTAAGTCAGTAACAGGGCTGTGGAGAAGACCATTTGCTTAAAAAAAGTCATGTCAGTTTTCATCATGCAAATGTGAGTTTCAAATCGAGGCACCTGTTGTGATTGGTATGGTCATTGTTATTTTCAGCCCAACATGGCTGATATCACAGAACTTCAATCTGTTTCATGTGGCAAAACTTACCACACATTTTCTGACAGTCAGAACCTGCAGACATATATAAAGGAGGAGAGAGATCCTTTGTCACTAACATTTCCAGTTATCAAGACAAAGACTGAGGTGAGTTGTTTATATGTAAGTAGGTACCTAAGTGTTTTTCATTATGAAATGCATGAATGTCTACCTTAGAGTGAGTACATCTAGTGCTGATTAGATGTATGTTGCTAAAGGACTGTAATTTCTATCTGCTTACTGACCATGGTTTGTTTAAAAGAAAAGAATAATAACTGAAATACATCATCTCAGGCTGTGGCACCACATACCTCTCTGTATTCCCCTACCACCTCATGAAAACAGCTCTCGTCACGCACTCCAGTGGTCTCAAACTTTGTTTTCAAATTGTATGACACTGAGACATATTTGCTCAAAGCAAAATCTGTTGAGCAAGAGAAACAGCCATTGCTATGTAACGGCTGTCTAGCGCACTACAGTGGTGTAACTATTGGAAGCAGTGTATTCTGTGCAAGGCTTCATAATGAGACAGATCCTTGAGATGGCAGTTAGAAAAGTAGGAGATTGGTGTGAGATGGCCACCAGCCGAAGAGGAGGTGAGCCAGGGAGCTGGGGAATGTCCACTTGTGATGACTCAGCAGTCTGAGAAGACATATTATGTGCTGTAGTGAATTGCTGAGTATGTGAATTAGGTATAGAGCTATAGTTACTTGTAGTTATGGTCTGTAAGTATTCAGTAAATCCAGTTACCAATCCAAAACCTGTCTAGTCACATTCCTACACATGGCAGTACTATTTAAGAAATTCAGTAGTTCTGAAACAGGAGTTAAATCTGCCCCTGGTGGGGTCTCAGTGCAGGAGGAGAGATGGGGGAAAGTAAAGAAGCTGTTGACAAGACAGCATTTCAACCCAGGTAGATGGAAAACACAGGGTTGTTTGGAAAGGAAACATGCAGGACATGGTGTGTTTAGTGTCAGGAGACTTCATGAAGTTACGGAATATAGGATATATGGGGAGTACCTGATCATGCATGAGACAAAGTTCATAGAGTATGAATTGATAATGCATGGCTCATGAGTACCAATGGCATAAGTAGTAACACAGATATGGAAAAATAGTTGATTTGTAGAAATCCATTCTGTGATAGCAGATACAATAGTAGAAATTTGTAATCCATTAACTGAAATTTATCTTTCATTGCATTGTATTGTAATGTTTTCATAGAGGTTAAAGAGCAGTATAATTTTGAAATCTGAAATAGGTTTTGCAGCTTTGGAAATCTTAGATGCTGAGTTGGGTATTAATACAGCTTATGACACTGTTAGAGAGAATATCAAAATTTCAGCCATAGAGAGACCAGGTTATTATGAACTGAAGAAGCATAAGCCATGATTTGACAAAGAATGCTCAGAATTATTAGATCGAAGGAAAGAAGCCAAATTGCATTGGTTGGTCTGGTGTTAGTTCCGGTGTCTGAAGATAGGGCTACCTCTGTTGACTGGGCCCAATTGAGTAGATTTTACCGGAATACAGAGTCAGAATCCAACCTCCGAATTGCTGTATTTTTAAATAAAAGCAGGACAGCATTTTACATAAAAACGGGACATGGATAATGTCCTGAAACATAATAAAGTACGTAAGTATAGGTATGGCCGNAAGTCTTAGATCTTATTTGCTCTGTTGGTGTTTAGTATAAGATCTTTGCAAAAATGTTCAGTGTGGGTTTCACAGTTAAGTCAGTAACAGGGCTGTGGAGAAGACCATTTGCTTAAAAAAAGTCATGTCAGTTTTCATCATGCAAATGTGAGTTTCAAATCGAGGCACCTGTTGTGATTGGTATGGTCATTGTTATTTTCAGCCCAACATGGCTGATATCACAGAACTTCAATCTGTTTCATGTGGCAAAACTTACCACACATTTTCTGACAGTCAGAACCTGCAGACATATATAAAGGAGGAGAGAGATCCTTTGTCACTAACATTTCCAGTTATCAAGACAAAGACTGAGGTGAGTTGTTTATATGTAAGTAGGTACCTAAGTGTTTTTCATTATGAAATGCATGAATGTCTACCTTAGAGTGAGTACATCTAGTGCTAATTAGATGTATGTTGCTGAAGGACTGTAATTTCTATCTGCTTACTGACCATGGTTTGTTTAAAAGAAAAGAATAGTAACTGAAATACATCATCTCAGGTTGTGGCACCACATACTGTCTGTACTCCCCTACCACCTCATGAAAACAGCTCTCGTCACGCACTCCAGTGGTCTCAAACTTTGTTTTCAAATTGTATGACACTGAGACATATTTGCTCAAAGCAAAATCTGTTGAGCAAGAGAAACAGCCATTGCTATGTAACAGCTGTCTAGCACACTACAGTGGTATAACTATTGGAAGCAGTGTGTTCTGTGCAAGGCTTCATAATGAGACAGATCCTTGAGATGGCAGTTAGGCCACCAGCCAAAGAGGAGGTGAGCCAGGGAGCTGGGGAATGTCCACTGGTGATGACTCAACAGTCTGAGAAGACATTTTATGTGCTGTAGTGAATTGCTGAGTATGTGAATTAGGTATAGAGCTATAGTTACTTGTAGTTACAGAGTGTAAGTATTCAGTAAATCCAGTTACCAGTCCAAAACCTGTCTAGTCACATTCATACACATGACAGTACTATTTAAGAAATTCAGTAGTTCTGAAACAGGAGTTAAATCTGCCCCTGGTGGGGTCTCAGTGCAGGAGGAGAGATGGGGGAAAGTAAAGAAGCTGTTGACAAGACAGCATTTCAACCCAGGTAGATGGAAAACACAGGGTTGTTTGGAAAGGAAACATGCAGGACATGGTGTGTTTAGTGTCAGGAGACTTCATGAAGTTACGGAATATAGGATATATGGGGAGTACCTGATCATGCATGGGACAAAGTTCATGGAGTATGCAATGACATTGCATGGCTCATGAGTATCAGTGACGTAAGTAGCAACACAAATATGAAGAAAAAAATCTGATTTGTAGAAATTGATTCTGAGACAACAAACACAAGAGTACAGCTTCCTAATCCATTAACTGAAATTTATCTTTTTGTTGCATTATTATGTAATGTTATCTGCATATAACTTTAGCATCATATGATTTGTACTACTGGAAGTTGGTGGAGTACAGTTTAAGTTATATGAATTCGTTTGCAACTCCTGTATTTCTCCAACATGCATTCTATCAACTGAAATTGCAATGTTGGTGTTTAGTAGGAGATCTTTGCAAAAATGTTCACTGTAATTTTCTACAGTGAAATCAGCAACTGAGCTGTAGAGAAGACCATCTGTGAAAAAACAAATCAGCTCTGCTGTTATTATTCAAATGTTATATTCAAGCTGAGACACCTGTTGTAATTCGTATGATCATTGTTATTTGCAGCACAACATTGCTGACATCACAAAACTTCAACCTGTTTCATGTGGTGAGAATTACCATACATTTTCTGACAATCACTATCTGGAGACAGATATAAAGGAGGAGGAAGATCCTTTGTCAATAACATCCCCAGTTGTCAAGACAGAGAGTGAGGTGAGTTGTTTATATGTGAGTTTGTACCTAAGCTTTTTTCATTATACAGGATGATTCACGAAGTTTTACCCCGGTTTATGGTACAAATTCCTGGGGTTATTTCCTGCAAAATTTCCTTATAAACTTTTCGTCAATTTTCAGTAATTATGGAGTAACAATAGATTTTCAAAACACATCAATGTGAATGCAGCGCTCTGCTCACCTCCTGGGCGACCTTGCATTCCAGTCAGCTGTGTCAGCAGATAAGCTGACCGGCTGGAATGTTGCGCGATCCTAGGCAAAGCGACCCAGTAGTGAAGAGGACGTTGTTTTGGTGACTTTGTGAAGTTAAGATGCCGTACACATTTTGCACTGAGGAATACGCTGATATGGTTTTTGTTTTGGGTGTATGTGATGGAAATGCGAGAGCCGCTGCTGCCGAATATGACCGGCGTTATCCTATTTGCAGGATTCTGAATCCTAAATCCGTTAGCAGTACATTCAACACATTAAGACAGACTGGTTCTCTCCCTAGTGTTCGTATACAATACGAACGAAATCCTCAACATGAATTGTGCGAAGAAGAAACCATTCTTGATGCTGTAGAGCGCAGTCCGCGTGCCAGTACAAGATGTCTAGCTCGGCAGTTTGGTGTTTCTCAGTCCATGGCGTGGAGGACTCTTCATGAGAACGGGCAGCATCCTTATCATTTACAGCAAGTACAACACCTACGACCAGGAGACCATGCTCTTCGTCTGCAGTTCTGCAACTGGTTAAATGGAAATCGCCAGTTGTACCACTTGATAATGTTCTGCGATGAGGCACAGTTTACACGGGATGGGGTCAACAACAGTCACAACTTACATGTGTGTGCAGACAATAATCCCCGTGCCACGATAGAATCGAATTTTCAACACCGATTCAATGTCAATGTCAGGTGTGGTGTTCTGTGTGATCAGCTAATCGGGCTGTTCATTGTATTGCATTTGGGGCTGGATGAAGGACATTGTGTACCAGGTAAAGGTACAAACACGTGAAGCGTTGCTTGAACATATTCTGGACACGGCGATGACAATAAGGAACAAACGTGTGGAACTGCGAAATGCTACGAGCGCGGTTCATATGCTTGCAACGCGTTGTGTTGACAAGCAGGGAGAAATTTTTGAAAATCGTATGTATATCCAGTCGTCTTCTAAAGCACTACAGATTGATAGAAGGGTGTGATATGCAACCATTGGTATGTTTACAGAATGGGATGCTGAAAATAATGTAATTTTGTAACATAAAATGGATGAAAAATGTTGCACAAGGCAAAATTAAGAAATTGAAAAAAAATTGGTTTTCGAATGCTTCTTTCCTAAAACATTAACGATTTAAAAAGAGTTTGTATTGTATTTCTAATTTGTTTTGACTGAAATTCGAAGAAAAAAAGATTTTTCGCCAGTTTTCAAATTACTGTATCTTTTTAATTATGAGTTGGATGCCATTAGTATATTAACATTTATTGTTCCAAATTACCTCAGGAATGCCCTCCCTAAGTGGGGGTAAAACTCCGTGAATCACTCTGTATGTACGAGGGGCGTTCAAGTTCTAAGGTCTCCGATTTTTTTCTCAGGACTGGGAGCAGATAGACACATGCGGTTTAGTTTAAAATACGTGTGCACTCTTTGTGAATGTGTGACAGAGATGGCAGCACTGTACGGCACACAGAACTCTAGTGGTGGCAGAGAGAGTGAGGAGTGTTTTTGATACTTAAAATGGCGACGTTTTCGTTACAAGAACAGCGAGTAATCGTTCGTTTTCTCCACTTGCTTGGTGCGACACCCATTGAAATTCATCGCCAGTTGAGTGAGACATGTGGTGATGGTGTCATGAATGTGAAAAATGTGCGTTCGTGGGCGCGACAGTTCAAAGAAGGCCGAACGTCGTGTGACAATGAACCAAAAAAATCTCGGCCTCGCACCAGCCGGTCTGAGAACATGGTCGAGCGAGTTGAGAAAGTTGTTTTGGAGGATTGCCGATCGAGTGTGGAAAACATCGCCTCCAAAGTTGGCATTTCTGTGGGATCTGTGCACAAAATCCTGCATGAAGACCTGCGAGTGCGGAAAGTGTCCTCCAGGTGTGTGCCATGAATGCTGGCGGACGACCACAAGGCTGCGCACATGGCAATTTGCCAGGCGATGTTGACACGTGATGAAGGCATGAATGGGACTTTCTTTTCATTAACTGTGACAATGGATGAGACATGGATGCCATTTTTCAAACCTGAAACGAAGCGCCAGTCAGCTCAATGGAAGCACACAGACTCACAGCCACCAGAAAAATTTTGGGTAAGCACCAGTGCTGGAAAAATGATGGTGGCCATGTTTTGGGACAGCGATGGTGTAATCCTTACTCATTGCGTTCCAAAGGGCACTACGGTGACAGGTGGATCCTACCAAGATGTTTTGAAGAACAAGCTCCTTCCAGCACTGCGAGAAAAACGGCCGGAAAAGGCTGCACGTGTGCTCTTTCACCAGGACAATGCACCAGCGCATCGGGCATACGCGACACAACAGTTTCTTCGTGAAAACAACCTTGAAGTGGTTTCTCATGGTCTCTACTCACCTGACCTGGCTCTTAGCGATTTTTGGCTTTTCCCAATGATGAAAGACACTCTCCTTGGTCGCACATTCACCAGTCGTGCCGTTATTGCATCAGCAATTTTCCAACGGTCGAAACAGACTCCTACAGAAGCGTTCGCAGCAGCCATGGAATCATGGCGTCGACGTTATGAAAAATGTGTACGGCTGCAGGGAGATTACATTGAAAAGTGACAGAAGTTTCAAATTTTTTGTATGATTATTGTGTCAGAAAAAAGAATCAGAGACCTTAGAACTTGAACGCTCAACGTAAAATGAATTAATATCTACCTTAAGAGTGATTGCATCTGTTACCAAGTAGATGTATGTGAGGATGTTGCTAATGGATTTGATCTGATCTGATAAGTGGCAGTGTTTCAGATATATTTGAGATGTGCTTATTTTAAAATTTCTGACACCAGCATCAGATATACAGGGTGCCCTACAACAGGATGTCCATTTGAGTCGAAAAGTTGTAATAAGCATGGTAGTAGTATTAGTATTATTATTATTAGTAGTAGTAGTAATAGTGGCAGGTGCTCTCATCAATGTTTGGGGATATTCCTTGGCTAACCAAGCAAGAGATAGGACTGCAGCAAGTTGGCACACCTCATTTTGGTAGGCATATGACTGCATTTCTGAATCAACATTCTCCATGCCATTGGATTGGCTGAGGTGGTTCAGTTGCTTGGCCAGCAAGATCACCAGATATTTCACCTTTGGACTACTTTTCATGGGGTCACATAAAATCCCTGGCATATGATGTCAAGTCAAACAATAGGGCTGAGTTGCTGGATGGAATAATGGACCCCTGCACTCACATAAAAAAATATACATGACTCTGAGAGTGACATAATTGAAAATGCAATTTAAAATTTAATCTAAACTTACTACCACTGCCACCAACTACTACTGATGCTGTTGCTGCTGTCACTACTTTATAAATAATAATAATAATAATAATAATAATAATAATAATAATATATGGTTCACATAATATTTTTCCCTCAAAAATGGAACATTTACATTTTCTCCCTAAAACAGGAACATCTGGTAAAAAGAAATGTCATAAAAAATAATAATAAAGTCAGTATACATTTGTGTTAAACACTGAGAAATTTACACATACAAAAATGAGCTAAAAATTATTAATATAGAAACACTTCACTTAAAAAGTTCATACAGAAGTAAGATGTAGGTCTTACTCTACAAAAGCCTTCCCAGATTTACCTGAATATTCATCAGATATGTGAACCAGTTCCAGAAACACTTTTCTTTCGGTATTTTGGAAAAGAACTCTGAACAGGAGAAATCTTTAAAGTGGGTCTTCACAGTGGTTAAGGCTTCCACTCTTTCTGTTGTAAGACTGTGTTTTTGCATGATATCCTAGCAGTGCCAAACAAAAACTAATTAGACGTTTAAATGTTAACAGCATTTATGTTCTCCTTTGTAAATGAGCTAACATGGATTTGAAGCTATGGTTATGCACTGCTGTGTGATTTGCAGAGATTGCTTCCTGTTCTGCTAGTGATAGAAGCTTTTCGATTTCATTAATATTCTTTGTACTTAAGTAGTTACTTGTGCTGCTATTGGAAGCTTTGTTTTGAACAACCAGTTTAACTTTTTGTTTTCATATAATTGACGACATCCAGTGAACCACCAGGTGCAATGCAGAATTTCACATTGCATAACATGCACTTACCATTTTCATTCACACCTTTAATAAATGGATATTTGCTCTTAATACTTCCATTAATACTGTACTTGTGTTATGCCATCGCTATGTGGATGAAACCCAGTAATTCTCACAGGCTCTCACAACATAATATAACGGTCAATAAAGAATGCAGAGAATGATACAAACTTAACTTCCATTATGGAAGCAAATCAAAATGGAAAAAGACATATTTCCATCAGAAAAACTAATAATTTGTGAATTTTTTTCGGGCGGATTAGCCACCAGGAATGTTAATATCTTTGTAAGAATGTCAGTTGCAGAGAATAGCACCCATTACTGAGTGGTTGTCGATAGAAATTAATGTTACAGAAGAGCACTTAAAAAAAATGGGACATTTGAAATGAATTCGGGATGGCGGGACATTATATGGAAAACTGGGACTGTCCTGGGAAAAAAAGAGGACAAATGGGAACCCTATAATAATGAGACCTAAGATTAAATGGGAAAAAAACTCCGTGATTTTAGTCCACAAGCGAACTATACCAACCGAGCGACTGCCGCTTAACGGTGAAGTTTAGTGCCAACTTTTGTGGATAGAGGGTGTCACGTGGTGAGCACAGCGAATCCCGTTGGCCGTTAATTTTGGTTTTCTAGACCGGACCCGCTATTTCCTTGAAATAGCTCCTCAGTTATCATTATGAGGCTGAGTGGACCCCGTTCCAGACCCACTACTTCTCCAAAGAAATCGGGTAGCACCGGAAATCGAACCTGGACCTAGCCAGGAATGCTGACCACTAGACTACAGGGGCGGTCAAAATTGAATGGAAATAATGTAAAAATTACAAATGCAATAGAATTGTCAATTTAATCTTGAACCATTGCAGATGGGACCCATGTTTGTTAGAACCTTCCAACTCAAAATGATCCCAAGAGCAATGTAGCTAAGCTATGGATGTCCTGTTGCAGGGAACACTGTATCATAATCCCCAAACTGCAAGACTAGTGCTATTTTTTCATAAATATTTCTGTCCTGCATTATGGAACCCAAACATATGTCATTATCTTCACACAAGTACTCTATTGGCCAGTCATGAGCGCATGTTATTAACTTCGTATCTCATTTCTCCAAGATGCACATTATTGTTATTGCCTGAGGTGTGCTTTGTTTGTGAAATTGGTTGATCCCTTAAGGTGTTCTGACCAAAATTTTATAATATTTTGTAAGGTCTGAAGTTATCACAACGGCTAAAGTGTGTAAAATCTTGTGCTGTGGTCTTCTTTTCACATGGTTGCAAATTACTGATGCTGCAGGGATGGAACCTCTCTATCCCCATCACCAGGGTCTGATGTAACATAAGAGTCAGACTGTTCCGTCTATTGCAGCTCACAACCCAAGATTGGAACTGAGCTTAATCCAATGGAGTGTTAGTTGGTGGAGTCATAAATTAGTTTGTGCTGGTCCTGTCTCTAGGTTCATCTGCGTATTGCTTTATTGTGTTAGTCACCAGGTACCAGGACTGACTGAGATTGAAACCCCTGTCCTTGTTGAAGTTACTAGGGTGGGGCTTGGTGTCAATTGCCTCCGATGTTAAGTGGTCAATGTGGCCTGGTGCTTTACCCAGTATGGAGGTTTGGCTGAATTTGATGATGTGGCCTGTTTCAGGTTTATATTGTGCCTGGTAACTTGTGAAAGGTTGTCTGCTTATAGGTTAAAGTGGTCACACCTGTTGGGCTATCTTGCTTAGACCAACTAAGGTGCAGGGCCCAGTGGATGTCCATTGTACTGTAGCCCTTGTGTATGAGAATGTCCTCAATGTCCTCATGAGATGTAGGATTTCTTCATATGCTTTCTGGCTCACATGGTTATGACATGTGGGAAGAGTGTCGAGGAATAAAATGCTTCTGTGAAAGGCGATAGGACCTGGCATATAGGAGAGAGCTGTATGTGTGCATTTCTGGTAAATGGCTTCAGCAAGCCAGTGGGCTTCCTCTTTACTGAAATATTGAAATATGCTGGTCTCTTCTGTTCCCATTGAGAACCTGATGAGTGGATGGATGCTGCTGAGATGTGTTTGGAAATGGAGTCAAACCACAAAAGTGTCATGAATGTATCTGTACCGGTAACTTTGTTTCTCTGGAGCTGTCCTCTGAATTTGTTGTCAAAGAGCTTCAGTTGACCATGTGGTGGATCTGGTGACTCCATGGTGACACTGTTCATCTGATGGTACAATTTGCCTTTGTGAGGAAAATAGACAGACTTCAAAACCTAATGGAGCAGATCTGTGTTTCCATCATTGAAATGTGGACCACGTAGTTGGTAGAGTTTCCTGGAGTGTATCTTACATGAATAGTGAGATTACACCAGATTTTATGAGGATGTATGTATCCTGTAGTTCTGTGCTATTCATACTTTGGATGAAGCCTTCAGAGACTGTGATATGTTCAGAGAGTCAGACTGCTGGATTCAACATTTCTCCTAGTTGGGTAACCAGGAAATGTGTAAGTCAGTGCATTAAACTAAGGGTCTCATAGGAACATCCTCCTCATTCATTTTAGGCAGAATGTAAATCTAGTATTATTATATAGCCATCAACACAACAATCAATCAACAATCAATTTGTAATAAATAACCAGTGATATTGTATTATCATTAATTTTATTATGTACATTTGCTACATGTTTTGATCCAGCTGGATCATCATCATGTAGTTTTTCGTGAAATGTGCTGTTTGTTATTGAGTTGTATTTCATATTATATATAACTTAATTCAATTCTTGTGATAGTTCAGATCATATTGACACATGTTCGTGATTAGACATAGGGTTTATATGACAATTGAGTTANGACGTCAGGATACTGCATAGTGGGGATGGAATCCGTCAAGGGAAACCTGATGACATCATACATGAGCGAGCTAAACCTTAGAACGGCTCANACAGCACTTTTACTGCTCAGCACACTCTACAAATAACTACAGCACATGCTAAGTCTTCTCTGTCTACTATGTTCAGTAGTTGTTGCTTGGTAGCTGATTCATGTAATGAAGATTCCTTTACTTTCATGCTCATGGCTAGCAGCTAACCATCAACTGTGACTCCTGACTCCCAACTCATGTCTGACAGACAGTCCTGAGCAGAGGAGTAATTTGCTGCCGATCTTTGCCAGCACAGTTGTTCTTGGTCTTTGGCCCCGCCAGTACCCTTCACCATAGTTTTGTGTGTTCCAAGACTACTTATCTGACTCTCCTCAGAGTCAGAGTTACTTTATGACTGGCAGTACCACCAATCAGCTCATCTTGCTGCCAAGCTCCTTGATACCCACAACCAGTGTTTTTTATTTTTCAACTGAGTACTTGCAGTTGTAGTCTTTATGTAACATTCACTCTGACAAGGGGATGGGTCTGTCATTTACAATTGCTGCTGGCCCTCACCAGCGCAGCAATTCTTGGGTCCAAATTCCGTAGGACTTATGACCATATTTTACTGTCTCAGATTCGAGACTACCCCAGCCTGGAAGACCATGTCCATGTATTTATATCCCCAAGGAATAGGGTAGCTCAGTTAAACCCCCACACCCACTGGGTTCCCTTTTTGTTGCTTCCTATGGCCATCATTATGTAGCTCCAGCATGGAGTGCACATGAAACACCGTTTCTAGCAGTTCCTCTGTTGTTGCATACGAGGGCGTACCCAAAAGAAACCGAACTTATTTTTTTTTAAACTTATTTATTCAAATTTTAAGCACAAACCTTCAATCCCCTTCAAAGTACTCTCCATTTACACTAATACACTTGTCTAGTCTTTTATTCCATTTTTCAAAACATTGTCTAAATTCATCTTTTGGGATGCTTGGCAGCACCTCTGTCATGTTTTCCTTCATGTCCCTTTCATTTGAGGAAACAAAAAAAAAAAAGACGCATGGGGCAAGGTCGGGTGAGTATGGAGGGTGAGGAACAGGGGTCATACCATTTTTGGTCAAGAATTGTCGTACAGACAGGGCTGTGTGAGCAGGGGCATTGTCATGATGGAAAAACCAGTCACCCGACTGCCACAAATCTGGCCGCTGAGCTCCAAGTCACTCCCGACAGCTCCACAATTTCTTCAATGGTCCGTTGTCGATCTTCCTTGATGATTTCACGAATTTTTTCAACATTTTCATGTGTTCGGGCCGTGGAAGGACGACCAGAACGAGGTTTGTCATCAATTGACATTTCACCATTTTTGAAACGGGAAAACCACTCAAACACTTGAGTTTTCCCCATAGCATCATCCTTGTACGCCGTTTTTAACATTTGAAGAGTTTCTGTTCCACTTTTCCCGAGCAAAAAGCAGAATTTCACCGCCGCACGCTGTTCACGAAAATCAGTCATTGCAAAAACGACGATCACACAAAACAACTGTCACTATAAACTCTGCCAAAACTATTCCTTACCTTCTGAAGCAACAGTAGTCGGCTTATCGACACAGGAATGTTAGCTCTATGCGCTCATAGCAGCAAAACGCGGTACTACAAAAGCTCTGCCCACAAAAAAATTAGTTCGGTTTCTTTTGGGTACCCCATCGTATGTACCTGTTGCTGTGGTAACGTGTTTACCGAGCCGTTGCCTAGCAGTGGTCGTCTCCTCTGGCTTCAGTATTCTAAATTCCAGCCATCATGTCACAATATTTATGTTCCCTATACAAAACCATATTCTTGTACATATATCAGACTGGTCATATTTTTCCACAGAGAGTGGCTGTAAAGGAAGAGACAGAATCTCCAGCCAGACCACACACTTTACTGGGTATTGAACCACACACAGAGAAGTTCTGCTCTACAGGAAAAGAATACATGAGCAGTGGACATAATGCTGTTGACACTTCTGATAATTTATTGATTCACCATGAAAGTATGAAGACACACGAACAGGGACATACTAGAGGCCATGATGTGTGTAAGAAATCCTTTATTCACAAGGCCACTCTGAAGAGACATCTCCGTGTGCACAGTGGGGAACGTCCATACTCTTGTAATGTGTGTAAGAAATCGTTTGGTCAACAATGTCATCTTAATAGACATGTGCGTGTGCACAGTGGAGAACATCCCTACCCTTGCAGTGTGTGTAGGAAATGCTTTCGTGACAACAGTGCGCTCAATAAACACATGCGTGTGCATGATGGTGAACGTCCATACCCTTGCAATGTGTGCAAAAAATCCTTTAAAGATGTCACTACTCTTTGTAGACATCTATGGGTGCATGGTGGGGAACGTCCCTACCCTTGCAGTCTGTGTAATAAAGCGTTCTGTGACAACAGTACTCTGAACAAACATCTACGTGTGCATCGTGGGGAACGTCCATACCCTTGTACTGTATGCAAGAAATCCTTTTGTGACATCAGTACTCTCAATAAACATCAGCGTGTGCATCGTAAGGAATGTTCGTATTCTTGCAGCGTGTGCAAGAAATCCTTTAGAGACAACAGCAATCTTAACAGACATCAGCGTTTGCATAATGAAGAACACCTGTTTCATTGTGCTGTGTGTAAGAAGTCGTTTAGTGATAACAGTAATCTGAGTAGACATGTGCGCGTGCATAATGGGGAACGTCCATATCTTTGCACTGTGTGTAATAAATCCTTTAGTGACAACAGTAACTTAAGTAGACATCTGCGTATGCATAATGGAGAACGTCCATACCCATGCAATATATGTAAGAAATCCTTTAGTCACCAGTGTAATCTTGTTGAACATATGCGTGTGCATAGTGGAGAACGTCCATTTGTTTGCAATGTGTGTAAGAAGGCTTTTAGTCACAGCAGTACTCTGAATAAACATCTGAATGTGCATAGTGGAAAACGTCCGTTCGTTTGCAACATGTGTAAGAAGGCCTTCAGTCACAGCAGTACTCTCAGTAAACATCTGCGTCTGCATAGTGGAGAACGTCCGTTTGTTTGCAATGTGTGCAAGAAGACCTTTAGTCTCAGAAGTACTCTCAATAAGCATCTTTGCGTACATAGTGGATAATATCTGTCTGTCTGCTGTGTGTAAGGAAACCTTTAGTCACAGCAGTACTCCCAGTAAGCATCTGCGTCTGCATAGTGGAGAACGTCCGTTTGTTTACAATGTGTGCAAGAAGATCTTTAGTCACAGCAGTACTCCCAGTAAGCATCTGCATCTGCATAGTGGAGAACGTCCGTTTGTTTTCAATGTGTGCAAGAAGACCTTTAGTCACAGCAGTGCTCTCAGTAAGCATCTATGTGTGCATAGTGGATAATATCTGTTCGTTTGCAGTGTGTGTAAGGAGACCTTTAGTCACAGCTGTACTTTCAGTAAGCATCTACGTGTGCAGTATGTAAGAAATCTTTTAGTGCGCACAGTAATCTGGAAATGCATCCACATATAATGGAGGAAGTGGATGCCAGTGTAATATCTGTGAGAAGTCTTTTCAGGATAAGTATAGTCTCAGTATACTCTATCAGTGGAGAACTCTTTTGCAATGAGATATTTGTAAGAAATACATTAGTTTAATTGGAGAACTCTTTTTAGAATAAGAGTGTTTCAGTATATATCAGTTGAGAACACTTTTGCAATTAGACGTTTGTAAGAAATATATTAGTTTACTTACTGATCTTTATCAATATATATACGTGGTATGTTCAAAAAGTATTGAACCTTCTTTTTTCCCACGTAAACCAATGAAGCGCGGGAAGCTCCCTTCGGTGGAGATGTGGAGGGGACATTCATGCACAGTCGTGAATTTTTTCCCGCCCGCAGAAAGCATCAGTCGCTGGCAGTCGGCCTATGAGTGAGGACTTGTAGTGAGCGCTCGTCGGATTCCAGTAAGGTGTAAAATGACGGAACAACATGAGCAGCGATATTGCATCACATTTTGCCAAAAGCTTGGCGATACCCAAGTGGAAACCATTCACAAGATTCAACAGGCTTTCGGGGACGATGCCGTGAGCAACTTACGGATAAAGGAGTGGTACAACCATTTCAAAGATGGCCGCACATCAGTGGACAGCGAACCACATTCAGGCAGAGCCTCAACAAGCCGAAATGAGAATGTCATTGAACAAGTGTGGATTTTGGTCATGGAGGACCGTCGTATCACAGTCCAAGAACTTGCGAACAAGATAGGGGTAAGCATTGGTTCGGTACATTCAATTTTGACTGAGGATTTGNGCATGGCAGGTCCGCAGCAATGTCAAGGTCATGTTGGCCGTTTTCTTTGACTCCCGTGGGGTTGTGCATCATGAGTACGCACCACAAGGCCAGACCATCACAAAGGAATACTACCAGGAGGTCCTTCGTCGCCTTCGTGATGCTGTGCGGCGCAAATGACCGGATCTGTGCGCAGCAAAAACTTGCAGCTCCATGATGATAACGCACCCGCCCATTCTGCGCATCTGATTCAGACTTTCGTCGCCAAACAAAACATCCCTGTGCTTCGTCAGGCTCCCCACTCCCCCGACTTGTCTCCGTGTGACTTTTGTCTATTTCCCAAGCTGAAAATGCCGCTGAAAGGAACCCGATTTGAGTCAAGAGAAGACATCATGTGGAATGCGACGTCCCGGCTGATCACCATTCCAAAAGACGCGTTCCAGAAGTGTTTCCAACAATGGCAGAAGCACTGGGAGAAGTGTGTGCATTACCAAGGAGACTACTTTGAAGGGGATTAGGGTTTTGTACCTCCAAATCAATAAATGTATTTCTGCCGACCAAAGGTTCGATACTTTTTGAACACATCACATATATAGTTTAGCTTTCTCTTTAAAACAAGGTAGAAGTAAAATGAAAGCATTTATTTGCCAGATTGTTCCAAGGAAATATATCTTCTGTTGTGTGTTACTTTGGTCCTCCTGCAGTCATACTCGTATGTTCTGCTCAGTACCCTGCAATTTGAACCTTGTTCTTTGTTAGTGAATTGAGATTATCCATATACTTTTGTGAGGGTGCAGGTAACTGTCACATGCATTGATTTCCTTGAAATATCCCTCAGTCTTATGTTTTCCACTCCATTGTGACTGACTGACTAACTTGATGGAGAACTGCATAGGATGGCCTGCTTGTGTATTACTGGAGCAATGAAGACAGCTCCAGTGGCTGCAAGTGAGATCCTCTTTGGACTTCTCCCATTGCAGATGGAGGCTGAGGCCAAATCAGGAATTTAACAGACTCTGCTGCAGTAATCAATGGACATGCAAATGTGAAGGTTTTGAACATGCATAGATGACTCAGGGCACGAGAAAAGAACCGATCCTACAAATGGGGACTAATAAAATGGTATGAGGCATGTCTGTGACAAACTTTTAATGGTCAGATTCCCTGACAGAAGTAAATGGAAAGATGGTTTTCTACCTGATAAAGAGAACTAGTCTGGTACACAGATGGTTCCAAGACAAATAAAGGCACTGGGGCTGGGATGTAGGGATATGGTACAAGGCAGAAGCTTAGCTTCAACCTTGGCAAATACACTACGCTATTCCAGGCAGAACATCTGTATTCTTTTGGACAGTCAAGCTGCAATTAAAGAACTTGACAACTACCAGGTCAGCTCAGAATTGGTTTGGGACTTGCATCAGTCTGTCATGAAACTGGCTAAACATAACAGATTTCAGCTGATGTGGGTGATGGGTTATGAGGGCATTGAAGGTAATGAAAGTGCTGATCAACTGGTAGAGTGGAGATCTGACTGATATATCACAGGATCTGAACCAGCTTGTGACATTTCAGCAGGAAGTACCAAGAAGGCTATCAGGGACTGGACAAGTCAGTTTGGTTTCTGTGCACGGCATGGCACTACACTGCAAGTCATGACGCAGTGATGGTATTCTTGGATGTCGAAGAAACCCTTAATAGAAGACGGCACCCTGGCTTGTTATACAAGTTACATAAATTACAATTTTTGACAAATTTAATCAAGCTTATTAGCTCCTTTATATCTGAGTGAAAATTCACAGTTTCTGTTGAAGACAAAATGCCCCCACCTAGAGAAATAAAAGCAGGGGTGCCTCAAGGTTTCACCCTATCCCCAACATTATACAGTATGTATGTAAATGATACCCCCCCAAACTCTAAAGTTTCGCCTCCTTTGCCAATGACACCTGTATGTATGCCACATTGAGCTGCAACATGTTGCCAGTTCGATTGAGACACTGGAACATTATAATCAATGAAGATACAGCTCAATCCGTCTTCTCTCATAGATTTGCACCACCTGAGGTTCATCTCACGCTGAACGTCTCCATACATCATGTAAAATATCTCTGTGACATCTTCGACAAGAAATTGCGTATAAAAATGATCGAAGCTCTGACATTAAACTAACCCACCATAAAGCTCTAACTAGATCAGTAATAACCTGTGGTTGCCCTGCATGGGACTTTTCGGGAGATAAGCCAACTTTTGAAATTATGGCGCTTAGAAAACAAAGTTCTCTGCACCGCTGGTAAATTTCCTAGGTTCAAACCGGTCCGCGAGTTGCACGTGGCTTTCCAAGTACCGCATATTTATGATACAATTTTGCAGGCAACAGGCAGAGGCCATAAAAATCCATGAAAATGCAAATGGCCGCGACATCGGAAAGGGCGAAGTCAGACCCAAAAAATGTTAGAGGCATAAGTTTGGAGGCTGTCAATCGTATGACCATTCAAGTAACTAGGCAGCTGTTGTAACATGAGTTAGTTCATGATATACTGGACAAAGCCTAGAGTGAGAGGCTTAGTATATATTGTACATATATGTGTGTATTGTCATGTCTTTATGGCTCTGTGACAATGACTGGCTCTGGATTTATTAACACCTTATACAATCAACACGTGTTTTTTGGTCCGATACCCGGCACTGGATGCCGTTTATTGTCGCGTATTGTATGCATTACCCAGCAGTGGCTGTTTCTCAAGAATATGTCTGCGGAAACTTACTTATCGATCCGTTGCCTAGCATTGGGTCGTTACGTCACAATGCTCCCACTTGAGGCTGCCCGTTCCTAGTAGCCTATCGGTGTGTCGCAGTTCCTTCTGATCTGAGGGCTGTGCTTGGTTTCACATTCTCATGGCTCGGGTTTTCCTGCGATGACTTCTCTCCAACAGCTTCAGCTCCCTGATTAGGTGCCAGTTGATCCAGGTGTCACCATGACCCCGCGTTTTCTGTTTTTTCTTTTTTTCTTTCGAACGGTGGCGATATAGCTGCTACTGCAATATTCATCGAGCTAGTCGTAACAAGTTCTGACCCCAATTGTCACGTGTTTAAGGCTCCGTGAGTGATAGTACTATCAGGTTCTGGACTGGATGGTTGGATTCACCAACACCTTATACCACATACAATCGACCCATACTTACAAGCAGTACAGCGCTATCGCTAATTTACACAATTTACAGTTCTCCGTTACACACGCACTAGGATTCTCAGTCTTCCTAGTCATACACGGTGTGTCAGGTTCTGTTAGGACTGTGTTCATTAAAAATACAAGACGTGAGTTATTTTCAAAATGTCATTCTTTTTATTCAAAATAGTCTCCTTATGATACAATACATAGCTGCAATTGATTGAAAAGTTTTCGAAAACAGTCACTGTACTCCTTTTGTGGAATCGCATTTAAAACTTCCCTTTGGATGTCCTGGATGGTGTCATGACGGTCTCCTTTCATCGCCAACTTAACTTTTGGGAGCAACCAGAAATCTGCTGGAGCCAAATCTGGCGAATACGGAGGATGACCAAGGACGGTGATCCTTTTTCTGGCCAAAATATCGTGCACGATCTTCGATTTGTGTAGTGGGGCATTGTCGTGGAGGAGCGACCAGGAACTTTGCTCTCGATATTCAGGTCGAATTCGAAGAGTTCTCGCCCACAAACGATTGAGGGCTCCGAGATAATAATCAGAATTCACTGTTTGACCTTCTGGCAGAAATTCCTTGTGAATGATTCCTTTGGAATTAGCAGTGTCTTTACTCGACTCTTTTGCATGCCCACTTTCTTTGGTTTCGGCTTCTTTGGGCCCAACCACGCTGCACTCTGCCACTTTGTGAGAGGCTCATATTCCGAAAGCACATTCTATACACTTCCTGGCACGAGAAAGACGCTCATTAGAGTACCTTCTTTCGTCATTCAAAATCTTTCTGGTAATGGACGCATCAAATTTGTCTTCAAGGGGTATGGTTCATCTCCAATGAAAACGTACGGCAAAGAACATGTACTTCCGGGAATCATGTCCGGTGGTGGAATGTTAAATCTTCCACTTCCCATTAATTTATTCAAAACTGAGTAGTGAAAAGTCCCTCCATCACTTTGTTTCCCTCTTCCACCTACTTTTATTGCTTTAAATCTTTTATTCGCATCAGCAACGCCCTGCAGTGTTACTGAGAAATAATTTTTATAATTGTAATATGTCGATCCAGAATGGGTTGGACAAATTATTTCACAGTGCTTCCCATCAATTGCACCAATACAGTTTGGAAATTGCCACAGTCTGTTAAAACCCTCGCAATTTCCTTTAGATCCTTTTGAGATGGCTGTGGCATGTGTATGCTAACCAATTGTGACCATAATGCAGAACGTGTTTCATAAACTATCGTAGCCACAGTTTTTCCCATATGAAAATTAAAAGCCAAGGCTCTGAATGCCACTCCTGTAGCAAGATACCTGGGAAAAACACAATTTAGTGTTCTTAATTTCAGAGGAAATGCCGAAAAAGCAGTGGACA